CGACTAGCGCTGGCAGGATGGCGTTGGTTTCGACGCTGTCGAAGACTTTCTCGTAGTCGACGAAGGTTAGGACGAGAGGCAGTCGGTACTTCCGGCAGACTTCTATGACCCTCGAAACGGTCTGGATGTGGTCCATGCAGCTGAATCCTTTGCGAAATCCAACTTGTTCTTGGGGTTGGGCTTCATCCAGTATCTTTATTATACGAGCGAGGATTATCTTCGTAAAAAGCTTGCACAGCACACTCAGCAGGCATATTGGACAATAGTTCCGAAGATCCTCCCGTTCACCCTTCTTGAAGAGAAGGACGGTTCTTGACGTTCTCCACTGGTCGGGAATCTTCTCCTTCTGAAGGTAAGATGTCAAATGCGACGCTAGAACCTCGTGTAGACGGTGTCCTCCGCCTCGCAGAAGTTCGACGGAAAGATGATCTGGTCCTGGAGCCGTGGACGTCTTCATGGTCTGTATCGCGATACGCACTTCAGCAGGTAGAATTCGTGGTGGTACTTCTCAAGTGGGAACAACGAGCATCTGCAACCTTCGGCACTTCTTGAGACTTCGTCTTCTTTCGGCTGCTTCCAGTATCTTGGCTTGCCTGTACTTCCTGAGATCCTCTTGCAAGGCTGTTCTGCAACTGGCGTTGGCTATCAGTCGCTCGAGATGGGTTGCACTCGGATCCTGCCTCAAGAATCTTCTTCTTTCGAGCAATTCCTTGGTGGTCTTCGAAATGCGCCTCAGTGACATCTTCTCAGAAGTCACTGAGGCGCATTCTCCGCAGGCTCGCAATCCTTTCAGAAGCCGGTCGTAGTCATACGTTGGGTCCTCCTCGATGGGCCAGTCACAACTTGATATGAGCTCTTCCAGCCTGTTACCGTCATAAACGACTTCCTTCCTTCTCGCGGCACTAGGAGACTTTCTTTTCCAGCCTTCGGCTGAGTCGTATCTTCGCTCGAAGGAGGCGGTGATCGGAGCCACTACAGAAGGATGGAACTACAGAGACATCGAGTAAGCTCCACCTTCGGTTGGTGGGAATGTGGTCGATCTCAGCATGAGTTGTTTTGTTGGGCGATTCCCAAGTCCACCGGCGATGTTCTTTCTTCATGAAGATGGAGTTTCCATGGAAGAGTCGTGCGGCGGAGAGAAGCCCAACGAGACGGTTGCCGTTTTCGTTTCGGAGCCCATATCCAAGCTTCCCGATCCTATATTCCTTTTCTAATGGCATCCCGATTTTCGCATTGAAGTCGCCCGCAACATGCTTCTAGAAGGACTTTTCGTTGCGGACGACCTCCTCCACGTCTTCGTAGAAAGCATCTAGTTCTGAGTCGTCAGCGGCTGATGTTGGCGAGTAGCAGTTGATAATGCTGATGGTCTGCTGCCCATCACTCACCCCCCCCCCCCCCCCCCCGCCTCAGCCCAGCCACCACGAGTTGGTGACGTCATTCAAGTGCTGGCAATCAACAACTTGATTTTCGTAAATGGTGACGGCTAACCTTTCCTAATTCACTGAGCAAGCACATCCGATTTTTATCATGGACGTAACGCGATGAATCAGCGCAAGCATTTCAAGATTGCTTATTCACTGAGATCATGCAAATTACATTCATGATAACTCTATCACTACAGTGTAAAATGGCAAACTCCGCCGCTAGACGTCCTGAGCTCCTCTCACGCATGTGATCATATCGCCCATACATTCAGAAGTGCTCATGTATAGGCTGCTCCATGACGAAGGCGCAAAATCTTCGGGCGCGAACGCGGCTTCATTAGCCGCAGAGTGCATGAGGTGCGGGATCTACAACGGTGAGAATACGCGCGCATCGCTTTTGCGCCCGCTCAACTAATATCTCCATGCCTTCGTCATGCAGCAGCCTTTATTTGTATAGTAGGTACCTCAGTTCTCGAGAAATGCTAATGTTTAAAATAAATGCTAATGTTTAGGATAATGCCAGACGGTTCCATTTCAGTAAAAAAAATTGTGAGACAACCTAATACATAAACAAAAATTACATACTTTCAGTGATTTGCTCTTCATTGGCTGGGCACCTGACCTTTCTTTTGAATTTTGAGAAATGGAACCGTCTGGCATCGGCTAATATAGTAAAACATATTGCGCCAATTGAGGGAACGATAATTTACGACATTTCATTTTTTGTGTAATCTTAACATTTTGTTTACGCGGTTATTTTTCCTCTACTGCTGAAAACTTACTCGTCTTATATATAAAGCTTAATGTCTGTCTGTCTGTCTGTATGTCTACAAGTATGATAGAAATTTTTATTTCTGAACCGATTTGGACCAACTTGGCACACATATATTTCGGGGTGAGGAGCGTGTCGTGGGCTACTTTTCGTTGTTGATCGATATCGGTTTATCGACTTTCCAATTTTTTGCAAAGTTCAACCTACAGGGCTGGGAGTTGACACAGGAGGGCACGGGGGGGGGAGTAAGTAAGCACGTTCATTACGAATACGACATCAGTCTCTGGAATTATCGGTTACTTTTATCATTTTTTGCAAATCAACCTACAGGGCTCTGAGCTGGCACAAGGGGAGGGGGGGGGGGGGGGGGGGTAAGTGAGCATGCTGATTACGAATACAATACAGTGCTAGACAAATTACCCTATTTCCAGGTGTATAAGCCGCACCCTTTTCGCTCTAAAGGCGAACACGCCAAAAGACTGAGTGTCATCATGGAGCGCGTTAAGTGAGAGCAGTACGCGATAAGGCAACCGCTTCGCGAGACATATGCGCGGCGGCACGCCTGGGTCTCCTCGCGTAGAGGAAAATATCTGCCTTTTTGCTGCTGAAGCAAATCCGACATTGACATTACTGCAATGCTGAGCTCAAATTTCTGCCTTCAAACTTCCTTTACAGTGTCCTCAGAAGCATTAAGTAAAGGCATTGTTTTTACAAATGGAGTCTGTATTCCATGATTAGAACCTTCTAGAGATCATAGCATTCAAGTATAATTACTAAAATCACCCTGCAGAAACTGATTGCGACAAGCACCAAGGCTAATTGTGGCTCTAACCCAATTTTTCAGGAGAATCATGTGCTAATATACAATACAAGCTGTATCCACTATCAAGCAAATAAATTACTGTCAAAAATTTGAGTGAGGTACCACTTGGCAAGCTATTTTGGGAGTGAGTACATCGCTATGCTGCACAACTCATGTTTCGAAAAAAAAGCGAAGCGCAGTATGGCGTACAATTTTACTCTTTTGTGAGGAATGCTTCTACAATATCTTGAGGTTATTATGGTAACGCATAAAGGGTTTTAGGGCAGAAACTGAGGAACGCCCGTAAAAGGGCTCGGAATTGGGAAGAGTTGCAGGTGCGCTCTATCGCCATTTCGATTAGAGCAGCATTTTTTCAACTGGAGCGCACTATCTCCAAACACTTATACGTTTTACGCCGATCTGGACAAACTTTGACACATTTGACGCCGTTTCTAAAAATTGCGATAAGCGCATGTATCGTCTGCGCCCCGGAAAGGTTCCCATAGGTACCACGTCATCTCGCTGCCTTTCGCACTATAGAACGTGTTGACCTCGGGCACTTCCGTTGAAATCTCAGGAGAAACGTGTCAAAAAGAGCGAAGGGCAGCGTCGCACCACGTACGCACGCTGGTTCACATGGGAACCTCTCTGGGGCGCAGACGGTATCTTCTTTTGCATCCTTGCATCTAGGCATGCTTCATTTAAACTCCGGATCACTGACTGTGCATTTGCATTCGCCTATTGTTTGTTCTGTCTTCGATTATAGTAACTTTTATTATCGTCTCCTTTTCAGAGATGAGTGATGACTGTTCGAGTTCTTAAGCGCAGAAAGTTTGGTGATGTGGCTGCTTGAAGATAACTGTCTTCCAAACTTCAAGAAGAGGATGCCGGCTCAGTCATTTCGTCAAGAACTATGTGGAGTCAAATAAGTAAGCGATGATTGTTGTTCCTGTAATCGTTTTTCCTCCCTTGTACTGAGTTTGTATACATTAGTACAATTTAGAGCATTTTTGATATCTCACACGCGCACACGAGTACCTCCCAGTCACTATACTTGAGCAGGAACGTATTCAAGAAGCCCTTCACGAGGCTGACTTGGTTGACATGGATTGTTGCACAGTACGATGCAGAGGCTTCTGTCGTCATTGTGTAGTTTTGTGGTCTTGTAGCGGAACTATTGTTAAGTCACACTTTTCCACATTAGTGGACCCAAAAATTGAAAATCTAGACGAAGTTTTGCATAAAACGTGCTTATTTCCTACCGTAAACCTACCGTAACTCCGAATGGCGCTATCGTCTCAGACAATCGACGGGACCCCTCCGCCGGACAGTCCGAATCTGCCAGAGTCGCGCCGGACCCGTTGACCAATGAGAGAGGGGCAAATGGGCGGTCCGTCGCGGTGACATCACTGGCAGGCAAGTGGGAGGCTTCTCCGGCCCTGCTGCAAAGGTCCGCCATTTCTCCGGCGCGACTTTGCCAGATTTGGCGGACTCGCGCCGGAGAAATTTGTCCGGCGCGAGTCCGCCAGATGTGGAAGAGCCGCGCCGGAGAAAATGGGAGGGGTCCGGAGCAGAAATGGGAGGCCTCCGGAGCAGAAAATGGGAGGTATCCGGAGCAGAAAATGGGAGGTATCCGGAGCAGAAAATGGGAGGTATCCGGAGCAGAAATGGGAGGGCCCCGGAGCAGGCTGCGTATCGATTTGGCGCGTCGTTGCAAATCATTCATTGCTAAGGCGTGGTGTTGATTTCGCAACCAAGTCTTTTTGCTTCATTCTGTCGTCCGCACATCAAAATAACGTCAGAATTCAATAATTTGGTTTCTGCGTTCCAGCTCTTTCGGGCTTTTTCGGACTTTTTTGGGTTTTTCGGGCTTTTTTTCGGCGAAGTATGACGGGTCCCTAATGATGGTGAAAGATCTATCCACTCTGTGATTTACTGGCCCCTCGTGTTTATCATTGCTCGTTTCGTGGAATGATTCGAGTTATATACTAAGTTCTCCATATGCCATTGCTTCTCTGTAGGGTCAACCATGCCTCGGATCAAGACTGTGCATTCGAAGGTTACAAAGGCTCCACGTCGTTCTTTTGAGAAGGAGCGTCTCGACCAGGTAACGACGTTTTCACATTCTATGTTCGGCAGGACTTCCAAACCTTGTCAGAGAAAAGTGCATTTTGCGTCAGCTTCATTTTTGTGGTATGATTTGTATGCTGATCGATTTGCTATTTCATCTTTTCATTCCTTTACACTTAGTGAGTGAAAATCTTCCATCTCTGTTCGTCTTTTGCTTGAAGATTTTGATCTAGGAGCAACCTACAGATTTAGCTCGTGTTTTATTGCTGCGTACTTTGATTGAAGAGAAAAGAGCTATCAAAAATTTTCAGAGATTTGATAGGCACAACATGTTTGTGGGTGGAGGACTATATGTCGCCGAAAAAGGGCGGTCCCCGCGGTCATTTGCGACAAATACGCACTCTTGTACATGCGCGGACATGCGTTCCTGCAGGGAATCCGCGCAGGACTCTTCCAAATTCGGCGACATATAGTCCTCCACCCCATGCTTGTAAATATTGGGTTCCGCTCTAATAAATCCCTCTTTTCTGCCTTTGTAATTCTTTCAAAATCTTATATACAGTTACCTGATATTTTGTTGATTTCCTGCGCTCGAGAAAGAAATGATTACTTTTTGGGGAAACGGTCGTAAGGGAACGGCCATAGGTTCGCAGTGTTCGCGGTGTTCGTGGTGTTCGTGGTGTTCGCGGTTTCGTGGTGTTCGCCATGGGATAGTATGGGTATAGTAATAGTATCATAGTATCATAATAGTATAGTATCGAATAGTATCATCTGGAATAGCACATATGGCCGATCCCGACAACACCGACAACACCGACAACACCGGAACACCGCGAACATCACGAACACCGCGAACACCACTAACATCGGATACCGCGAACACCGTGAACACTGCGAACCGCGAACACTGCGAACCTATGGCCGTTCCCTAAGGTACAACTCTTCAGGCTATCACTGCTCTTCTTCGCCGTCTTGTACGTATTGGAGTGCTTCCTGAGGATCGAATGAAGCTCGATTACATTCTCGGTCTTCGTGTGGAAGATTTCCTCGAGAGACGTTTGCAGACGCAGGTTTTCAAGTTGGGATTGGCAAAATCCATTCATCACGCCCGTGTCCTAATCAGACATAGCCACATTCGGTGAGCAACTTGTGGATTGTCATATCTTTCCTTTTTTTTCTTATTTTGCATGATTATTTTGCCGCGGCCTCCGAAGTGGGTTGGCCCATTCGTGAAAATTCTTATCTTTAAAATGGCGCTTCTCGTCAGCTTTCGAGGGTTTCTAGAGGGACCCGTCATATTGTCGAAAAAAAAACACCCAAAAGCTCTAAAAAAAGCCCAAAAGCGCCCAGAAAGAGCCGGAATGCCCCATTCGCGGCAAGTTTTGGCGCTACGACATGCGTGTTGATTTCGCAGCCAAGTCTTTTTTATTCGTTTTCTCGTCTGCACATCAAAATAATGTCGAGTTTTACCAAACAACAACCCGGATGAAAGAGATTAGTGTGACTTGGCTTTTGTAGTTTCTAGGAATCCGCATTTATTTTAGCTTCTGATGCAGCCGATTATTGTGTCTTTGTCGTGGTATTCTGATTCGTCCTTCTAGCTGTTTGTCTAGTTCAAACTTTTCTTCCTAGGAATTGATGCCAAGGGCTCACGAGCATGGCTGTGTATTCGATTGCTGAAAGTTTAAGCAAGTGTCTGCATCTCGAACTTGGGTGTATGTCAAGAGGCGCGATTTTTGCCAGATGGGACTAATTAGCGCATTTCAAGTGTTTCAAAACGTTTAAAAAGACTTCTGATTTCTGAAGGGATATGTAAGAATCGTTTTCAGGGCAGTTTAAAGGCACCGTCCACCCAAAGTGGGGACGTGTACTCTCTCGCCGAGATTTTTCGTGCGAATTTATATCGCGGTTCGTTCTGTGCCAGGCAATGCTCGGAGACCCAAATGTCACAGATGCTGCAGTCCATATGATTGAGATGATTGTTGTTGATTGATTGATTGATTGCAGTTAATTTGAAATAAATGTCTTGTTTTTTTATTCTTCTATCTTTATCCACAAACGCTAGGGGTGAGAGGGAGGGGGTAAAGAACGGGGTTGAGGGTCGCGCTAAACTCCTACCCGGGGGGGGGGGGGGTTCTATTCGGCTTATTTGGGTGGGGTTTAGAGACAAAATTGGGGTTTGGAGCTTAAAGGCAGCGTCCAGGCAAGTCTGGACCTATGGGGATTTTACATGGAAAGTACTTTTGGGGCCCTAACTAAGCCACTGCCCAAGCGGCAGCTCAGGTAGTGCTGTAATGGCTGAGATATTCCCCTCGAAACTGGACCCCGCGACCGTGTTTCGCATGGATTCATGGCGCAAAGCGTGGATCCTGGCGCGAAACTGCCATGAATCCATGCGAATACGTTCGCGGGGGGTCTGCTTCGAGGGGAATATCTCCGCCATTACACTACCTGAGCTGCTGCTTCGGCAGTGCCTTAGTTAGGGCCCCAAAAGTACTTTCCATGTAAAAGCCCCATAGGTCCAGATCTGCCTGGAAGCTGCCTTTAATTAGGGCTAATTACAGTATGCCGCGACAGACTTGCGGAGCACAAAATCGGGGGGCTCCGGCGCACAAAATCGGGGGGCTCCGGAGCAGAAAATGGGAGGTATCCGGAGCAGAAAATGGGAGGTATCCGGAGCAGAAAATGGGAGGTATCCGGAGCAGAAAATGGGAGGTCTCCGGAGCAGAAAATGGGAGGTATCCGGAGCAGAAATGGGAGGTCTCCGCCGGACAAATGGGAGGGCTCCGCCGGACAAATGGGAGACCCACCGCTGGGGAAACGGCGCGACCCTGCCATTTCTCCGGCGGAGGGGTCCTATCCGTTGCCTGAGGTACGAAAGAATCGTTTTTAATATTGTGTTTTGTCGTCTCTCAGGCAAACTATTGCTTTCATGAAGCCTTTCCATAAACGTTCGCTTTCTCTCACTAATATACGAAGTATAGCAGAGCTATTATAATGCATGAATCATCCATTTGTTGGCTTTTTCTATACGAGATAGCAGAGCTACTATACTTGAAAATAAAGTGTTTATTGTCTACTGCGACTTTGGCTATGCGAATACATATTTCGCCGCATTCCGTGAACGCTGCTGTTAAATGGTTTTCCTGATTCCTTGATGCTCTTATGAATAGGAGTCTTTTCGCTTGATGGAAATCCCGTTTGTAGAGAAGCAAAGCTTGGAGCAGATCGCAAGTTTATATAAAACACAAAGAACTGTCATCAAGCGAATGCGAATGCACAGTCAGTGATCCGGAGTTCGAATGGAGCATGACTAGATGCAAGGATGCAAAAGAAGATACATGCGCTTATCGCAATTTCTAGAAACGGCGTCAAATGCGTCAAAGTTTGTCCAGATCGGCGTAAAAAGTATGTTTGGAGATAGTGCGCTCCAGTTGAAAAATGCTACTCTAATCGAAATGGCGATGGAGCGCACCTGCGACTCTTCCCAGTTCCGAGCCCCTTTACGGGCGTTCGAAACTGAGGCTCAGGCTCCCGATTTAGTCGATTTCGGATTTGCTCCAACAGCAAAAAGCCAGATTTTTTCCTCAAAGCCCACGTCAAAAAGCATCCAGAATGTAGACAAAACCTCGTCGCTTCCAATCCAGCTGAGAAACTGCACAATTTACTACTCAAAGCAGGTCTCTGGAGCGAAATTCATGTGAAAGCAATTTCAAGGCAAAAAGAGCAGATAATCGGTTCTTTTGAAGGTATGACACAACTTGACTGGAGTAACTGTTTGATACTTTTGAATGTGTACCTAATACCTAAAAAAAAATTTGGACTCCAGGTGGACCTATAATTTTGCCTTAAACCTTTTATAGCCTTTAAACCTGCCTTTTTCAAAGTCTTTGATTTTTTTCGTGAATAATCAAGCGAAAACGAGACCCGTTCTGATGACTGATAGTAAGCTGGTGAACAACGGCTGTACAAATTTGAAACATTCTGTTGACAACAGCGTGAGTTATGGCATTTTTCAGAGTGGACCTATAATTTTGCCCAGCAGTAAAGTTTTTGAAATTTTTAATTACTTTTATCGATTTTTCGCAAGGTCCGAGCAACGGAGCTCGGAATGGCACATAGGGGTAAGTGAGATGTTGATTACTAACATAGCAGGAATAGGAAACTGGCGCGTAGAAGAGCACAGGGAAAGGTTTTACAGGGATAGGGATGGGATCTCTATCAAAGTCTTTTGGCCGAGCGGAGCCGTGTAAGCCAGCTAGTTTTTTATATACAGAAAAGCTCATCTAGTGAGCAGCTTGCAAAACGTTGGACCACACGGTAGACGTACCCTCGCACCCATCTTTTCTGCCAAGCATAGCATATCCAGTACTGGCACTACGCTATCCACGCTGCTTGTTGACATCATCAATATGCGCCTTTACTATAAATATGAGGAAGGACAAAATCCGATACATATATCAAAAATTTGATCTGGTACCGAGTTTACATATCTGTATAAGTATTTAGCTGGTAGGGTAATTAACCCTGAGACGTAAAGCATTGACTAAAATTGCTTCAGAAAAGCTGGAGTAAACCATCAAAAATATAGCGATATAGCAGCAAACGCGCAAGAGGCTAGGGGCAGTAAGGGCTTCTGAGAACTCTACAGCAGCTGCAGCTTATTTGGACAAACGTTTCGTTCTATAATAAGGTTTACGCCGGCACCTGCTTCCTAGCTCGTATACAAGAGTTTATTCGAAATATCACCGAACAAAAACACTGTTTAATATGCATGTCTCCATTCTAAAGATCTCAAGCAACACAGTAGCTCGATGAGAATCATGTTGTGTGCCGCTTCAATAGTGAGAAGAGGCACATAAAATCGAGACGAAATGGAAGAAACATAGACTAATAGACATGGCAGTGAAATTAGTGGCCGTATTTCTGGAATTCCCATTCTCTATTGTCAAGAGGGCATACCTAAAAGGATAAAAGTTAGAAAACTGAATTGCCTCAGAAAAAATGCCACTGGCCTGTCGAGTTTTCAGCCAACGTGAGATACAGTGGAAGTGAAAAGCGTGGTTACAGTTTCCCCAAGCTACAGTGCATTCTTCTTTCTGGCCCGTACTCTGATTTCCCTGAAAAGGCGAATATTAGCATAGTAAGAAGAAAGATGTCAAAATGAAGCAAGTAACTGCATGTAGTCTCTTCGACGCTTTTTATTTTAACGAAAGAAATGATGCAAAATTACTGCTTCGATAACGGACTTTGGCTTTGCAGCAGACTGACTTCTTGAGCAGAAAGAAGATGCAAATTTTATTTCATGGAATGCAACTGATGCGTTCTATAATTTTAGACTGCAATAGGTCACTAAGAGATGCAGCTTGATTCAAATAGATGTCTACTAACTGCTCCCTAGGTGTCAAAGGTAGCTACAACAAATACCTGATTAGCCTGACACTCAATGCATAAATCCATGATGTGATTTCGACAGATTGCACAGTTATCGACTTGAATATCCCAAGCCCAAAGTGCCACAGCGCTCCACTTTTTCACCTGGAAGTCGAAAAGTAAATAACACAATGATGATTTGACTAAAAGCTGTTACTATATAATGGATTAAGAAACATTCGATACTAGAACTTTTCTAATGCGACACATTTTCAGATTCCTCCATCAGACAACTCACTCTAAGTGCAAAACAACTTGAATTTGCTTTGAGAACAGCTTACATCTTCAAAATTTTTAGCTTTTGCGCGCTCGAGCTCTTGAAAAACATTGGTGATTATCATGAAGTCTACAAAAAACAGTTTCCTCTGGAACATGACTCTGCTAGCCCTAACTGTATAAAGACAATTTTGAGTTCTTCAACCAAGAGAAACGCTCCATAAATTTCACTTCAGTAAGCGCTGCGCAACTTTCAGCTAATTCTGTTCTGACAAAAGAAGCTACCCAACTTATCTCAGCTTTTGGCAAGGGGCATATATAATCTGAATCAGCTTCAAACGCTGATTTCCAATATGCTATCCATAGGTGCCGCGTACCATTCCAAAGCAAGTTATGGGCTTTTTCCGCGCAAAATTAGCATACTCATCGACTCATTGGCATCACGCCATCATCATTCAAAATGCTAATACCTTGCATTGAACTTCGTTTTGGTGAGAAAAGATTGTATTTGTGTTATTTCGATATTTCAGCACAATTTCTTGCAGATTTCCACCTACAAGCTGTCTTCCCATGTTCAGCAGGATGCCAAATCTGCGCAGAAAAAGGCCCATAACTTGCTTCGGAATGGTGCTCAGCAACTAAGAACAGCATTTTTGAAATCAGCGTATGAAGCTGATTCAATATATACATATATATATATATATATATATATATATATATATATATATATATATACTAGCTGGCTTACCCGGCTCCGCCGTATCCGGACCAAACTTGGCACACATACACTTCGGGCCCCGGCGGGAGTCACAGTCCACTTTTCGTTATCGATCGATGTCGATTTTACCGATTTTTATCGATTTTTTGCAGAGTTCACCTACAGGGCTAGGAGTTGGCACAGGGGGGAAGTGAGCATGGGGATTCCGAATACAATATTAGTTTTCAGAATTATCGATTGCTTTTATTGATTTTATCGATTTTTTGGCAGAGTTCACCTACAGGGCTAGGAGTTGGCACAGGGGGGAAGTGAGCATGGGGATTCCGAATACAATATTAGTTTTCAGGATCGTCCATTACTTTTATCGATTTTATCGATTTTTTTGCAAAGTTTGACCTGCGGGGCTGGGAGTTTGCACAGAGGGTAATCGAGCATGCAGATTACGAATACAATATTAGTTTTCAAGATCGTCCATTACTTTTATCGATTTTATCGATTATTTGAAAATTTGAGCTAGGGGGCTGGAATTTGGCACAGGGGTGTTCGAGCATGCTGATCACCCCCCTTGGGGATGATCAGCATGCTCGATTACCCCCCTGTGCCAAATCCCAGCCCCGTAGCTCAAACTTTGCAAAAAATCGCTAAAATCGATAAAAGTAATGCACGGTTTCGAAAACTGATATTGTATTCGGAATCCCCATGCTCGATTACCCCCCTGTGCCAACTCCCAGCCCCGTAGGTGAACTCAGCAAAAAAATCGATAAAAATCGATAAAATCGATATCGATCGATGACGAAAAGTAGCCTATGACACCCGCCGGGGCCCGTAGTGTATGTGTGCCAAGTTTGGTCCGGATCGGTTCAAAAATGGAATTTTCTATTCGGAACATACGTACACACAGACATACATACAGACAGACAGACAGACAGACAGACAGACATACAGACAAACAGACATTCAGCTTTATATATAAGATATATATATGTGTATATATATATATATATATACTAGCGACCCGGAGGGTCGCTAGCAAGCGGGTAGGGCACACCCATAAATAAACGTGTTTCATACCTATAATTTCCTCAAGTGAATTTTCAATTTATCTGTATGTGTACTGCCACAACCGCACAAAAGTAACATTTTCAGAGATTTTTTCAATGGGAGGAAAGTGAGTCATATCGTTCTAAAATTTTGCTTTGCCCTAGTCATCGCTGTACAGCTTCCTTTCGCAATGTCACTCGCGCTCACGCTTACAATGTGGAGGGAAAGATCGAACTCACTCCGGGCAGAAGCCCCAAACGAGATTTTCGAAGATTTTCTCTTGTGGAAAAGTGGATCATATCGTGCTAAAATTTTGTTTTGCCCCAGCCATCGCTGCAAAACTTCCTTTCGCAATGTCACTCTCGCACTCACGCTTACAATCTGGAAGGAAAAATCGAACTCACTCAGGGCAAAAGCTCCCAAAAGCAAGATTTTCGAAGATTTTCTCAAAATTTGGCGGAAAAGTGAAAGCATAGTGAATACTGAGATCGGATGTGAGCGGATCAAATGGTATGCTTCTACAACTAACTTTGCAACAATGACCAGCTCGCAATTTCAACACCCTTGGCACGCGCTTGCGTCTCTCAACACACCCATTGCAGCAGCAGAGCGTACCCTGCGTGTCGTGGCCTCTCGTTCGCGCTAGGAACTCTGCGTCCTGTTGATCTCATGATCGCACCGTCGCGTCTCTACACAATAAGGCCCCGTTCGGCAACTGACGTCTATTCAAAACACTCGTTGAAGCATACATGTGGGCGGACCATCCTCGCCGTCTCGTTTTTTGGGATCGGGTTTATATTATAGGAGAAGATATATATCTCCCGTGCCGAAAGGACGAGCTAAGTTAGATAGCATTTCTTAAGGATAAAATCTATCGGTTATGAACACCAGTGGCAGGGTCACTAGATGCCTCAACAATGGCCTATTACATGTCCTCAAAATGTCTTGAACTACCAAAACCAAAAAGAATACCTCAAATCTCTTCTTATCCTTCGCTGATACTGCGCTTCCTTCTCCTTCTTCAACTTCCATCTTTACGTTATCTTCAGCCATGCCTAATGATAAACCATACTTTTCGAATACTCAAAGCTTTTGCGATAACTTGCCGAAAAGACGATCAGTGATGCCAAACTTTGGAATGGTATAATTTATGCAACAAAATTAAAAATGAGATATGTAAGTAATGGTTACCGTAATATATAAAGAACACAACCTCGACTAGAACCGGAACTCAAACTTGTCTTGCGAATAGCGGAGAAGAAACGAACATCTTCCAACAACGAACGAAGAAATAGCTTGCTAGATAACTGAGCATCTTCACGCAGTTGACATGATGACAACGATATAGAAAGGAATGATCTTTCTCGAACAATGCATAAAGAAACATAGATGCAGTGAGGATAGTGAATGCATGAAATGAATTTATAGATTGAAAAAATAAAACTTTGCCACATGCAAACAGTTCTAGTTGTAAACATACACTTAGGCAACAACCAGAGCGCTCAAGAGCCCTCAAAAGCGCTTAAAAGCTCTCAAAGCGCCCAAAAGCCTCAAGCTTCTTCAAATTTTCTTCACATTTCTCTTATTTTGCGCCAACCGAAAGCTCAAAGACACTGGCGCGGAACGCCTGTGTGAGGTGTAGTGAGAATGAAGAAAGATTTTAAAAATTTGAGCGCGTTTGGGCATTTGAGCACTTTCGAGCGCTTTCAGCGAATTCTGGCGGGTGCCCCAGAAACGGTATCGCAAGTATGATTTGGAAGAACAACAAGATAAGAAAATGACAACAAGCTTCAGCAATGTCTCGCATATAACTACGAAAATCTTGAGAGATTCTAAAAAATCGCTCACACCGGAACGATGCAGCAATCAGTAGCAGTTCAGAGACATGTCAAGGATGTTCCGGTTGCGCATTCTGTTGCTGTTGTTCTCGCTGTTGTTGCTGTTGTTGCGCTACCATACAAGCCAGAGCAGCTTGCATAACGGTGGTTTCTCCAAAAGTGTTGTCAACCTCATCTAGGCCATCTCCTCCTTCTTCATGTTCGCCCTGAAATGATTTTATGCATTATTTTCGGTTAATAGATCGAAATGAGAAGGAAATTTGAAGCAGAAACATAAGAAATCCGGTTAGAAGAAGCATCTAGTGCTTACGACGCTATAAAGGCTATTGCGAATAGAATATACTGGAGGGACCAAAAGGCAAGCTAATGATTTCAACTCCAAGTTCGTGAGGGACCCGTCATACTTCGCCCAAAAAAGCCCGAAAGAGCCGAAACGCCCCTTCCGTTTTGACGCTAAGGTATGTGTGTTGATTTCGCAACCAAGGCCCGTATGCACGTACGTCCCCGCTGGGGCAGGGGAGGGGAGTTGGATCCCCCAGTGGAACGATCCCCTCCGCCGAACCGCCATGACAGAGGGTCCCCTGCACCTAAAAGGGGATGGTGTGAATGGCTACAGAGGTATTGATCGAGTGAACCCCCGTGCATACGGGGTTCGAATGGGGGAGGGGATCCCTTCCCCTCCCCCACTCGAACCCCGTATGCGCGAACTTAACTCAACAACGCGGGGGAGGGGATCGACATCCCCTACAACGGAGTAGGGGTTCGATGGTGTAGGTCAAGCCGAAGAAGCGAGTATTCTGATTTCATTCAATTATTACAAAGCATTTTGTTCAAATGAAAGATTTTCTACGGGAGCGGGTTCCTCGCTCAGCGACCTGTAGCTTGCAGTTTTAACTCTCTCTCCCATATTCGCTTCTTATAAATAAATCCGGGCATATATCGCAGTTTCGAATATCTGTAGAAGTTTGTGACCATTCACGAGAGTTGCGCATTTTTTATTTGACATGATAGTTATATCCATTGAGGCTGGTACAACATATTGTAACTATCACATCTTATATATAAAGCTGAATGTCTGTTTGTATGTATGTATGTCTGTCTGTCTGTCTGTATGTGTGTACGTATGTTCCGAATAGAAAATTCCATTTCTGAACCGGTCGGGACCAAACTTGGCACACATACACTTCGGGCCCCGGCGGGTGTCATAGGCTACTTTTCGTATCGATCGATATCGATTTTATCGATTTTTTTGCAAAATTTGAGCTACGGAGCTGGGAGTTGGCACAGGGGGGTAAGTGAGCATGGGGATTCCGAATACAATATCAGTTTTTGAAATCGTGCATTACTTTTATCGATTTTATCGATTTTTTGCAAAGTTTGAGCTACGGGGCTGGGATTTGGCACAGGGGGGTAATCGAGCATGCTGATCATCCCCGTGGGGGTGATCAGCATGCTCGATTACACCCCCCTCTGCCAGATTCCAGCCCCCTAGCTCAAATTTTGCAAAAAATCGCTAAAATCGATAAAAGTAATGCACGGTTTCGAAAACTAATATTGTATTCGTAATCAGCATGCTCGATTACCCCCTGTGCCAAATCCCAGCCCTCTAGCTCAAATTTTGCAAAAAATCGATAAAATCGACATCAATCGATAACGAAAAGTGGACTGTGACACCCGCCGGGGCCCGAAGTGTATGTGTGCCAAGTTTGGTTCAAATCGGTTGAGAAATGGAATTTTCTATTCGGAACATACGGCGGAGCCGGGTATGCCAGCTAGTTATATGATAAATTGTCTTTATCTTGTTATTTCTAACGTAAAACTGCTTTGAATGAAATGAAAATTAGCAGACTCGCGTGTTTCTGAGTAGAGATCCTCGCGGGGGTGATCCCCTCCCCATCGTTCCCCTCGTGCATAGCAGGGATGACCGCTGGGGATCATTCCCCTGGGGTAAAGGACGATATGCAGCTGATAGCTACAACGTTTATGGAGAGCTGGCACGATTTGCAGCCTCAGTTATGTGTAGAAATGCTGGTTTGAATGTCCGCAGCACCCCCCCCCCCTTTTCGGCAGCATAACGTCTTCTACTCATTCACTGCAAATACACCTTGACTTCTATTGTTGAACACCTTTACGCTGAAATGGGCAGCATGAGCGAGAATGAGCAGCATCCATGAAAACAGCTGGAATATAATGGATGTAGGAAAGTGCGCCGACCGCAATCACGGCAGAGGACATTCCGCAACGACTAAATATCACCGAGACACATTGAAGGCGAGTAGCTATCAAAAGATTAAAAAAGGAATAATTACTGCAAAAAAAAGCGGAAGCAAAATGAATTCCCCGCTCGATCTCCCCTTCAGCATAGGGGAACTCCCCTCCCCTACTCCCAGGGGATCCCCTCTTCGGTATTGTCTTTCTGCATACAGGGGTTCGCGTGGGGAAGGGAGGGGAGCCCCAGCGGGGATCATTTCAATGATTAAACGCACATCCCCTCCCCGCGGGGATGTACGTGCATACGGGCCCAAGTCTTTTTGCTTCATTTTCTGTCGTCTGCACATCAAAATAATATCAGAATTCCACCGAAAGTTCGATTCCGCGTTCTGGCTCTTTCGGGCTTTTTCCGACCTTTTTTGGGCTTTTCTCAGCGAAGTATGACGGGTCACTGAAAGAAATTCTCGGGGCGCAGCTGCCACCACCAAGACCCTTTTTGGTTTCAGGATCAAGTGCCAATGAAAGATCCCAAAAAAATTTTCTGGAAGGCTTGACAGACGCTACGTTAAAATGAGAATTTTTGTTTCCCCTCCCTTCTCAAAAAAGATTTCTCAGAACGCTGCTGGTGGCTACGAGACTCCCTTCAAAACAAAGCAAATGAAGTTTATGGCGTTGCATATGTCATCGACAATGCAGCTGCGTGCAACTATTTGGTCGAGTGCCCAGAGTCCAAACAAATTTGTCAAACAGAAGCTCAAAAGCTTAGATCTTTCGTTTCTTCGATTGACACACTTCACAATCCAAACAAATATCCAAAAAGAAATCAGAACTTGTGATCGCGCGTGTGCGTGCACCGTATTGTATTTTTATGATGATAGTTCACCTCGTCATGATCCATATCTGGTTCTTCTTTGGGAATAGTCACTGCGTTGCCACTACTTGCTCCAATGAATGACTGCAAAATTTGACTTGCTGACTCGGAGTGAAGGTTGCTGTAGTCAGATTCTGAGCCGCTTGGACGAGGTGGAGAGCAGCCTAAATGCGAGATTTCAGCTGAGAAAACAGATCTGTATGAGCAAAAGTTACCTGCCGTGAGAGGTTTAGCTTTGTTGCTAGGTTTCGGTGGAAAGCACCGTGCTGTGAACATTCGCAACTGGTAACCGAGTCTCTTACGATTGTCAATGATCATGCTCTCGTCTCCGTTATGTATTGCCTGAAAACCTGACAATATGAACATCGAACGTAGAATGTCTCTACAGAATATGTCACTTTTTTTGAGGAAAGAGCAGCATAAAATGCACAGATAGAAGTCAAACTACCACATTAGTCTACGACAATTCGCAAAGATAAGTGAAGCACCCACCTTGACGTGCTTCAGAACATCAGATTTTGCAATCGTTTGCCATGTTTTTTGACATACAGCACACTGGTACAGGTTGAGCTTGATGTGCCTGAAACACACAAATTCAAGTTGAGATCGAAACATTTAGGCTTCAAAACTATAAGAAAGAGTTATACTGAAAGCTACCAGTTCAGCATCACATGTTTTTATGCAGAAAGTGCATTAGAAAGCCACTACCTAACTAATTTGATGCTGTTCAACAAAAAAGTACTGCAGAAGGGAATGTAAGAGAAATTTTCATAATATGGAGGAAGAAACTCACTTTGTGTTGGCATGGTACACAAGACTCGATCTTTGATTCGACACTTTCAAACCACATATCTGGCACGTGACCGCATCTTTCGGCTGCAAATACAAATAAATATTGGCCGATGGCATTTGCAATGGCCAAACTAACTTTCCGCACTAGCTCTTCACCCTCTCCTATTAGTGCAGCGAAGTCCATGCCAGAATTCATTGCATCGCTGGCAAAATCCATCGGAGATAACTCCAGAACCGATGATGAAACGCCAGCGGACGCCGAGAAGGCACCACCGTAAGCGGGCAGATGAGGCACATGAAGCTGAGAAGCAGCGTTGTTCGAAGCTGTAACGTAACGATATGATAATTCTGGAAGCAAAGACAAAATGTATGTAACAAAGAAAGAAAGCCGAAAAATCAAAGCGAAAGCAGTCAAACATGAACAAACCTCCGAAGCTCAAGCCATGTTGCAAAGTGTTGACAGAGTTTAGCACATTCTGCTGGATATGAGGCGTTACTGAAGTCGGAGTGATCGGAATTGTCGGAGATGTGGCTGGGGGCACAACACCACCAGTACTGCCCGAAGAGCCGGAGCTTTGTTGCAGGCCCCCAGTCGCATGGTCGGAGGACGATCCTGATGGATCGACCGATGATGGGAAGCTGTCAGGATCTTCATACTAGAATGAAAAATTCACTTCTCACAGAGTCACGCCGATACAGCTATGGCTTTATAAAGAAAAAAACACGAAAGGGTGTGGACAAGGGACAATCCAGTAAAACTAACCTTTTCTACAGGCAACAATCCACCATGCCCGTTTGATGTTCCTAGTCCCAGGTGTTGTTCGTCTGACCGCAATCTTAGCGATGCACGAATCTAATATCGATGATAACGTGATCTTGCCATCTGATGTTAAAGAAGAGACTTACCTTCAACCTTAACTCCAAGGTTTTTCGCTCACCTTCTGGTGTGTAGCGATAGCGCACCTTAATTCATCGAAAATATGTGAATTTTCAACGAATGATTATAACGATAACTCACAAAGAACTCTTTCAACCCATGGTCATTCTTGCAGTGCGAAACGAGAGCGAACTCGGTAGGAAACTTTGCAAAGCGACAACGTTCACATCTACAACATTAAGTTTGCACTTGCAGCGAGTACATATAATTACAACGAGAAAGAATTAATTAATTATTCCTGGACCTATGATAGTCACTGACACAACAGATCTTCTCCCCAGCTAACCCGTTCCTGGCAACGAAACATTCAACATTTTTATCCAAAACGAAAAGTCAACTCCAAGTTCTTTGATATATGCTCGGCGAGGCAGTTCGTTTTCCACAACAAATTTTCAAAGTGCTAATTGTAGTTCTGTGAAAAAAAAAGAAAACTAGTTACGTACAGCAAAGTAAAGACAGGCGCGAATTAATGAAAACTATTCGAAACAGTTCAAATTCTAGTAAGGGAAGGAACTTACTCATATGGACAATAATTGAGATGGTCACTGGCGATATGAATCTCAAGCTCTTCTGGAGTAGGGAAACGTGGCGCGTCCGCGCCACAGTCCACACATATGAATGACGGGGATGTGTGACTCATCTAGGAAGGAAAAACACTCGTTATCGAGAAAATAAAGGGATCTGCAACAATTGACGTTTCTAACTATATCATACGCGGTCGCCTGTAATATTCCGCACATAACTACTCAAAACACAACCATGCAATGGTTCTTCTTTCTATACAGCTATCATATCTGCTCTCTCTAAAAAGAAGCAGTTTGTGCATAGCGTTGTCGACATCGAGCAGTCAGTCTAACAAAAGCGTTAAGAATTTTCAAGATTTATACCCCCCATATTGGAAGACGATGGTGGCCACTGTGCACAACAATTTATCACATTTCAATTTCTTTATGTTGCTTAGATGAAATGAAGTTTTCAATATCACTTGACAAAAACAGCTTTTTTAGTCATCAAAGCGGAATGAACCTAAAACTTTGGAAACTTGATTTTTCATGCGAATCGATAGGTTGAATCCTCATAGCAAATGATTCTTTTTATCCTCAGGATCTGGGAAGCTTTCGCGTTTCTTTTTGCAGAGAGTAGTCAAGTATTATTACTTTGCCAAAGATTGATGTTTTCCAGAAAATCTTATATATGATACTCCAGAAACTATTTCAGACTAGTTGAACTAGTTTTATATAGTCCAAGATTTGCTCCGTCCAGAATGAATTTTTTTTTTCGGAAATTAGCGAAGAGGAAGTTTTAGATATTTGCGGAATGTTGAGGGGATAGAAATGACGGGTGACGAATTTTAGCAGTCATCTAGAAGCGTTTGTAAGATATTGGTCGAATGGCCATTGAAAAAAAGGGGAAAAAACTGCTGCAGATGCGCTTCCATAAATTTTGGTCATTACTATACAAGTTTTATGACCTTTGAAAAAACAGAACTTTGAAAACATAAATGCAGCGCAGCAGTGATCGCTACTTAACCTTCAAGGTCATAGTTGCCTTACTTTGAGTTTGAGCTTGAAAGAAAAGTACATCTTATGTCGTATCAAATAGACTGCTTCATCCGGGTGATTTGAGGCCATGCTTAAGCGTCTGTTCTGATCCACGATAATGACACCCCAAACATTGAGCCAGGGCCGGATCATCTGGATGAATTGGTGTTGTTCAAAATTCTACTTTGCACATGCACTCCGCATTCATTTCCATAGCTCCTTCTTAAGTGGGGCATCCATGGAAAGCGTTCGATTGCTTAATTCGCATATTGCTGTGAAGAATTTCAGCTTGAATAAGTACAAATAAGTAGTGTAGTAATCGAACAGCTACCAACTATGACGAAAGATGAAAGAGCCCGTAGGTAAAAGCGAAGGTAATCTCAAGAGTGATTCAGATAATAAAGGCCTTCTATAACCATGGAAACCGCAAATTCATTCTGCAGGTCATTCAAGCCACACATTAGACTTTGCTCTTGGAAAATATTACTTCACAACTGTCTGAGTTTCCAGAGGAAACGCACAACTTTCTGAGCGGAGGAACGTTCATAGTTAAGCAAAGATACAAAACAACAAAAGATAAACAAAAAACAAACAACAAACCTCTCATCCAAAGTAATAACGTCTGTAGAGCGTTGCGAGTTGTTTTGTACAGGATACAGGTAGAGACGCGGTGTGTTGGCTGTGTCGGTGATCGATTTCGCCCCCTTCCTCCCTCTCCTTTCTCTTCCTATTCTTCTTTTCCCGCACTCTTATCGAAAGCGAGCGAGAGAGCGCAGTCGTCGTGGAGGCGCTAGTGAGGAAAGAATGAATGGAAGAGGGGAGAGGGCGACGAGACGAGCGACGTGGGGCCCCGGCCTGCGAGGCAGCACATGCATCGAAGAGAGAGAGGAAAGGGAAACGGAGGAAGATGATCGGGACATTGATCGTAGAGGTGCGGAGATGGCGACACAGGATGATGACCAACCGCGTCAGCGAGCTCTTGGCGCACATGTCGTCCATGGGGCGAGATTTGTGTGTGCGTCATTCGAAAGCCCTAAAAAAAATCCTGCGCCGCTTCACTTTCTATGCAGTATGTGTAGATACGTCTGTCAACAGTTTGCGAAAAATGTGACCATATCTACAAAGCGTGGTCTTCGCAACTGGTGACTGGCCAAAAAAGAAGATTTGAACCAAACGCATAGATGCAATGCGCTTTCGTAATTTCAGTAAGAACTTCAGTCTGTGAATAGGAAGTTGGCATCGTTTCATTGATTGGATTCTGATTGTCGTCAAGTAAAACGCAGATTCTGTAGTATAACCCAGCAAAATTGTAGGCCTTCAACATCCAATTGCCTCGCTTTGAACAGCAACAGCGACGTGCGGCTGAAGACGCTGGGTCCCGACGCGATAGCTTGTTACAGGCGATAATGAGCGCCACCTCCTTTAGACGTTTTTTAACACATTGACGACAACGTGATCCACAGGTGGGTCGTGCAATGTCTGCCACCTGGGACAATGTGACCCACATGGTGGGTCATAGCTCGAATTTTGCTGAAAAGACTGGTAGTTTGAGATACCCTCGTTTCAGAAGTTCTCTTACGCTCTAACCATAGAAATTGCTCTTGTGTTTCTCGCCTGCTTCGGAATTACTATAGGTATACTGTAGTTGACGATCTGCATGATTTTAGCTAAAAATTCTCGACTTATCCGTGGAAGGCATTGTCTCAAGGAGGCAAACAACTGAAAACGCTCGTTGTCGTCAACGTGTTAAGAACTTCTAAGGACTTTGGCTAAAACATACTGTTGTGCATTGCATGAAACAACATGGATGTTGACCGGAAAACTCCTGAGCGATTGAGACCGCCTATAGTGCCTCGCGACAACAGCTCGCCTATCTTGAATCTCAAGGCATAGTGCGGGCAATCAAGTTTTACAACGCCTGTGCTTTTTCAATGCAGTACTACTGTATTCGTAAGGCAGAGTCCCGGCAAAATTCCGGTTTGCCATTTTTTACCGTTTCAAAGCCTTCTCGTAATGCCGAACCCGTACCGGGCTTTGCAGCACATGAAAATTGAAAATAACATCTTTCTGTGGCTCGTCATTTGCGCATTCGCTGAAAAATACGTGCAAGTAGGCGGGGTCCGGAAGACTCCCGGAGTGGTTTAAGGCGTTCCAGACCGCAGAAATGAATAAAAAAAAATGGTGGGCAGCGCCCATGTTTCTTTCATCTCCGCAGTTGTAAAGCTCATGCATTCGATGCTATCGACAGCCACAAATTTACTGTTTTATAATTGCCCACTGTGTGTGGAAAATATTGCTACTGGCGTTGAAATCGGAAAGTGAGACAAACTTATATCGAATAATTCGATACTTCCCACCGCTCTTATAACTTCGTATCGATTTTCCAAGTTGTTTTATCTGTGAAATTCATGTCTAGAATCGCTCTATGAGCTGCGGAAACTAACCATAAGATTATATTTACAAAGTAGATAATCTGAATCTAACAAGTCTTGCACCCAATTGAAAGTTATCAAAAAATCTAATGAGTCTTGTAAAAAAAATTTTTCGAACTTGTATCAATGTTCACTTTTATTCTCAAACATATTATAAATCTTTATCGTGATCTAATACATAAATTATAAAACTTATTAGTTACTGAATGGCATGATCGTCAACACGCTTCCTCAGACTGAAATAGACAAATAATGGTGAAAAACTGTGCACGGTGCTGAGTAAACCTACCCATTCGGTACCATAACTCCGTCTTGACTACCCAAATTCTGCTGTAGGTAATGATAGGCACAATATTGCGTTCAGATTTAAACAACTCTCCCGTATAATTACCAGAGCACACCCTAATGCCATAATTTTTAACGATACCAGAAAAGGAATGGAATGGCAGCTTGCCTATATCCGGTGCTTCGCTGGTCCTTCTGTGTTTTAATCTCAACACCAGCAAAATAACATCCATCCGTAGCGACACGATCCGTAAAATTATGAAATTTTATCTCAATAGTTCTTCCCAATGGAGCCTACAAAAATGGAGGTTATTCCAAATTCATGAGTGCGAAGTGATCACCTCTATCCAATAATGGCACTTGAGAAAATAATCATTTTCACTTGATTTTTTTATCCATGATTGACCTATGTTGTCTTCGAATTTTAGGTAACTTGTAGAGGCCTGCAACACGTCTCCGCAGCCGCTTGGCTGAAAATGCTTTTTTTGCAGCATTCACTTGCAAATGAATAATATTTACCCGTTCGTTGCATAATCGTCCGCCATATCCTCCTGGGCAAACACATTTTGTGCAGTCCTTGGGATTTGGAAAACCTCCCAGTGCGCATTTGGCCGCTGAGGGGTTTTTCTTGCATTTATCTGAAGTGGGAATAGCATTAAGCTCAAAAAACTTCTCAGGCATTCTCAAAGCTTCTGTTTACCTAGACAGCTGTAGTGAGTGTTCATCATGAGCTTGTCGTAAAAAGAAACAAAGTGAGAACCCATAGTGTTAACAAACTTTAGGTCAGGTATAGGCATCATTGTGTGCCAGCGCGATTTATCTGCCGAGAAACTGTAAAAAAATGTTCGATTTGTTTTCCTGTTTCAAATCAGTTAGACAAACCTTTTTGAACCGTAGTGCATTATGCTGCCGTACTCATAAGGGAGACCATAATTATCATTAGTTTCATTAGTTTGTTTAATGAACTGATCGTGCATTCCAGCCTAAACATTGTTCAAGACATATATCAGGAGAAATTAGTGTATCGATTGATTACCTTAATTTTCGTTTCATCTATCGCTATGTGCTCGTCCCGATCATGTCTTGCTTGATGGTGAAACATGCCAAGGGCATGGCCGATTTCGTGTGCAGCAATGCCAATCTGTTTGCGTAGCTCTAATCAATTTCAGGCAATCAGATCAATTTTTTGTCTATTGCTTCGAATTTTGACAACCCGCGCTTTATAGTAATGCATTTATAGTCACTTCAAAAGTGTTTCTTCTTTTGGGAACCTTTACTTTGAGAAACCATAACTGATTTGGTTTGGTGTAGAAATCAAAAGCACTGCTTATTGTGTAACCTATAGTCCGTGGCGCAGTACTGCTAACCTTGAATTTCACAGAATTTTTTTGTAAATATTTTTTGTAGAAAAATTTGAAAAGATCCACTTATTTCTTTTTCTCTGAGGTGGCAGAAATTGTACTTTTTGAGATTTTTGGTGTTGCTCGTGGCAAATGAGGGTTTTTAATTTTCCTAGTAGTAATTGTTCTAGGCCTAGTCCCACTATACAAAGCAGAAATTGCCTTGTGCTTATATTTTTGTGCGACTTGCAGGGACCACAGAGGTGCGATAGGTGGAGCCGGGCCCCCAAAAGTGAAGGTGGTTCCAACTACCACTGGCCGGCCAAAAGTGAAGGTGGTAGTGCCGGACATCCACCTCCCAAAAACGTCGACGGGGGGGGGGGGGGGAAGCGTTAACGTCGACTGAGCCTACCCTTCCAGGTCGTTGCCGACAGTGCGCGGAAAATGAGCAAAACAAACGCAAAAAAAGATCATTGAAAGCATATTTTTATGTATACGGCGGCATATATGTATATGTATATTTAAAATAAACGTGTTTAGTAAATGGTGTGTTTTGAAGCGAAAGTCAGCGAGACTTCATAGATTTTATCAACTAAATTTTGTTATAACGCACTGCGAAGGAAGTAGGTCGATCCAGGCAGTAACCGCCGAGAACCAGAATTTCGAATGATAAAATAATGAAAAATCGTGAAAAATCATTCCACTGCTACAAATCTGCTGGCTGAAGACTTCCGCAGTTGCGACTTCATAAGTTTTGAAGGGTAGGTGTTGTTCTACCAGACAGTGAAAGAATCAGTTTGATTTGAGGAGTGGCCGCCGAGAACGAGAATTTTGAAAAACCTCAAAAATCTTCTCAATTTTAGGTTGCTCAACAATAACTGACATTTAAACTCTTATAAATCCGGACTGGAAGGTGTGTGATGTTGCGACTTCATAGGTTTTGTAGGGTGAGGTTTGCCCTATCAGAATTTGTCTTAGCTGTACCGATCCACTGAAACATCGCCGAGATCCAGGCTCTTAAAGAAGCAGGTAAAAAACCGTTTTTCTGCTCATAACTTCTTCAGAATTGCATAATTCATGTTGAGACTTCATAGGTTGGATTCTCCTCATCAAAGGCTTTCAAATAATTTATAATATGTGAGGGATTCAATGTTTCTTGCGGCTCTAACCCGGGGTGGAGTACTCCTCTCCTCTAATTCTCCACCCCGCCCATTTCAATGTACTGGCGGGAGGCCGCCAGTGGAGAATTAGTGAAGAGAGGTACTCCACCCCCGGGCATATGACGTGGGAGGCGTGAATCCTCCACATATTATATATCATTTGAAAGCTCTTGATGAGGAGAATTTAACTTATGAGGTCGCAACATGAATTATGCAATTCTGAAGAAGTTATGAGCTGAAAAACGGTTTTTTACCTGCTTTTTTAAGAGCCTGGATCTCGGCGATGTTTCAGTGGATCGGTACAGCTAAGACATATACTGATAGTGCAAACCTCACCCTACAAAACCTTTGAAGTCGCAACATCACACACCTTCAAAGTCCGGATTTGTAAGAGTTTAAATGTCAGTTATCATTAAGCAACCTAAAATTGAGAAGATTTTTAAGGTTTTTCAAAATTCTCGTTCTCGGCGGTCACTCCTCAAATCAAACTGATTCTTTCACTGTCTGGTAGAACAACACTACCCTTCAAAACCTATGAAGTCGCAACTGCGGAAGTCTTCAGCCAGCAGGTTTGTAACAGTGGAATGATTTTTCACGATTTTTCATTATTTTATCGTTCGAAATTCTGGTTCTCGGCGGTTACTGCCTGGATCGACCTACTACATAGATATATGCTCTTAACAAATTCTTTTACATTCCTTTTGCTAATTTTCCTTCTTTTGAGCTTTAGCAAAAAAAATTTTAAACCCAAAAGTGAAGGTGGTCACCTTGTATCAGCTTAAAAGTGAAGGTAGGCGGAGAATCGGCTCCGACTACCGCACCTCTGAGGGACCATAAAAATATTAGGTTGGCACGAAAGTTCTTGCGTAATTCAAACAAAATTCAATAACTTTTCAAAGACTTAACCTAAATTCACAATCCTGCATGCTAAAAATATTAGAAGCCTTGCGCTTCATGATGGATGTTTAAGCATAAGATTCCGTGAGCTGGACATCAAGAACGAAGCTCTCGAATATGGGGCTTCAAATTTTGCGATTTTAAGTTTGGTACCAGAAAATCGTAGAGTGCCGCTAGCTAGCCGAAAAAAATCTGTAGATTTTACTTACACAATAAAAGTCCATATGTTAGTTTGGAAGGCTTTGATCTTGCACGGTGAAGCAAAAACAGAAAAATTCGTGAAATATGTCATTTTGCGGAAAAAATCCCCTTGTCGCTCTAATTCTTCCACAGAAACACAGTTTGCAACCAGAAATTAGACATAGTGTCTATTTAGAGCCTTGCGACGTTTTCTCGATTGTAAAAAAGTGTTTTCGCCGGAAAATTGCGGACATGAGGGGATTTTTCCCGCAAAATGACATATTTCACGAATTTTTTGTTTTTGCTTCACCGTGCAAGATCAAAGCCTTCCAAACTAACATATGGACTTTTATTGTGTAAGTAAAATCTACAGACTTTTTTCGGCTAGCTAGCGGCACTCTACGATTTTCTGGCACCAAACTTAAAATCGCAAAATTTGAAGCCCCATATTCGAAAGCTTCGTTCTTGATGTCCAGCTCACGGAATCTTATGCTTAAACATCCATCATGAAGCGCAAGGCTTCTAATATTTTTAGCATACAGGATTGTGAATTTAGGTTTAGTCTTTGAAAAGTTATTGAATTTTGTTTGAATTACGCAAGAACTTTTGTGCCAACCTAATAGATCATGATTATGCTAAAAGTTCATAAGTGTTAATTTTTTCAAAATCGTAGCTGGGATAAGCATTTTGTAGCGGACGTCCCTAGCAAACATTACATAGGTTTCAAATAAAGTCTCCTTTTCCGGCTATAGAGTTTACAGCAATATAGCAAAAAGGATAAATTTTCTTATATGTTTTGTGTCCTTTCCAGGCACGTTACCACAGAATGAGCAAAGCTTTATGAAAACCGAGATGTATTATAAATTAGAACCAAAGAGCTTTTGAGCGATATATGCACTGTTTATGAAAAAATGGTTTCTCCAAAAATCAGCTGCTCAAAGAGAGCTTTTAAAAACCGGCAAAACTGTTGAAACAGCCCAATGCAGCAAGTGTATAATTTCTGAGAAAAGAAAAGACTCACCGTTTCACAGCCTTCGCCCAAAGAAATTGGTTGTGGCCTGTGCACGTTTCCCACATATGACCAGCAACCAGCTTCTTTTATCAGCACAAGACGTTCCGGTGCTAAAACGAGGATCCAAATAATGCTTAATTTTAATAATCTTATAAGTGTACGTGTATGGTACGTACCATCGACGTACTCATAGAAGCTAAGACAAGTTTCCCTCTGCCATTCCAATGCGCCATGTCTGAAGAGGTCGCGTGCTTTGCTAGCTAAACAAAGGCAATTCTGGCCTTTTTTCCATATATTCTAATCGCTTACTCGCGTTTTCAGCGAAAGAAAAGTGTACAATGCCATCAGGCCAGATTGTCCGGGGATAATTTTTATCTTTGAAGGCTTGGCGTGTCTTTCGATCACGTTTATTTCTATTCACGATCTCCTCCGCTTGCCATCTGCAACTCTTACGTACTTTGAAATAGTTGTTTGAAGCTAAAATCCAAACTCCGTCAATACTATGTCGCTCTGATACAAAAGCTCTCCTATTCCTTCATTCTCGTTAATAGTCTCTATGTCGTCACCGATTCGGTTGAACTGTACCGTTTTTACTTTCACCATCTTCTGAAATCAAAATGCCTCTTGCAAGTGGAAAGTAACACAGGCAACACTTCATCGAAGTCTCCGCACCTTTTGTAAATTATTCAGCAATGCCTTTTGTTGTGGACTGAGCTTGAGACTATCCTTCGTATTTTCTTCTTGTTCTTGAAGTCTTTCATGCATGTAGAGAAGTTCGGTTTTGTTCAAGAACTAAATAATGACCTAAAACCGCTATACTAATTGTACATTGCTCTTTACCTTACTTCTGTCTCCAAGTACTCTATGGCATCCTTAATTTTCGTGGATATATTGGCTTTACTGTTGACAGATGCAGCGAGTAAGAGGAAGAAAAGAGAAACTCGCATTGTATAGGGAGATTTAGGGAAGGTAAATGTCAATGCAAATGAAGTCGCAGTGGTAGTCGACGTTTTAAACAAACATCTATAATTACCTACATGTGCACTTTGACTATCCTCTCTACCGTGGCTATGTAAACACCAGAGCAAAGTGATGTGCAGAGTATTTAGGAAGAGCTCATGGATTCGATTTTTGCATTTGGAACAACTGAAATTGTTCAGTGCATTGTATTCGGATGCGGAGTTAACACACGTTTTGAGAGGTTCCACTCTAAGCTATAACTATGCCAAAAGTATATTTTATAATTTGTATGTTCTGTTTTTTCATGCAGCAAAAAACGCCGAATCTAGAGAAGGCTTATTGCTACTCAATATCATTGGCAGGAGACAAGAGACGTTACCAAAGTGCCTTACTCTCCCGCTTACAGAAATGAAAAGGTTTGGCGATCTTTCGTTTAGAAAATTATTTGGGCTAGAAATAGGTGCAGCGACTGTTCATATTTGGCGATCGTCTGTATGTTGTGGTTAGGAATCAGGAATGCATCAAAATTGTGGTCTTTGGGTTTGAGGTCAGAAGACTCAAACCTGAAAAAGTACAAGATATAATGGATGAAAACCTACTGGTAAGAAAGGTGTTCTATTAGAAAGAGCTGAGAAAACCCCAGAGCATCAAAGAAAAATGCAAGAAATTTTGGAGATGGATTTTTTGTGCCTTTTTGTCATGCTAGAATGGGTAGTGAGAAAGCTTTATCGTTTCTGCAGACTTTAAGTGGAACTCAAGGACATTTGGGGTGACAGTAACAAATTACGATGCTTCGGTATAGACTGTTCACGGTTTGCTCGGAATGCAATATTACGTCCACTGGATATAGTTCATGACTAGAAGAAAGAACAGGGAAAAAAGGCAAAAGTGCACCTAGCCACCTACTCCGCAACCTCTGCGGAAGGCTTATATAAGGTAATTTCTAAAGGAATCGGGTTCCATCATTTTAGATAGAAAAACCTTGAAGGCAGTGTCCCAGAAAAAATTCGCTACCCGGTTTTTCACCTCTTCGGAGCCTTCTCGCCATGCTGAGGCCATATTTGAGCTTCTCAGCGCTTGAAAATGGCAAAAATGAGCTTTTTTGGAAGCTCTCCATATGTGCGCTCGCTCCAAACTACATGTAAGAAGTGGACGGGGTCCGGAGGACTTCCGGAGCGGATTTTGGCTTACCAGAAGCGATTTTTAGCTCCGGATTTCACTGATAGACTATCTGGAGGGTCCACCATTGAAACACTGTAGAATCCCGGTACTCGTCATTTTGAGGGGAAGCTGCCTTTAAGATTCCGAAGGGTTGTTTCAGACTGCCGCACTGACTGCAGCAGACTGCAGCAGACTGCAGCTGACTGCACTGACTGCAGCAGACTGCGGCTGACTGCAGCTGACCGCACTGACCACACTGACCACACTGACCGCACCGGTCGCAGCCTCTTTTCTTAAAAGAAAAAACAAGCGATTATCAAAATAGCGTGATTTACGCATAAGAACATCACAAGTTCCATCAGAATTCTTCTCAATCAAATTTTGGCGATAGTTTTCTTTGGTATGTTCGTATTTGTTCCAATTCTTCCTATCATTGCATATACCTGTTTTGTAACATTCTAAACCTTGTTGTCTTTTGCTTTTACGTATACATTGTTGTTATTTGTTCAAACCACAACTATTCATCCTCTCCGCCTGCAGGCTTCAGCCGCTGCGGTCGTTGCGGTCAGTGCGGTCAGCTGCAGTCTGCTGCGGTCAGTGCAGTCAGCTGCAGTCTGCTGCAGTCTGCTGCGGTCAGTGCAGACTCTGCAGTCATTGCGGCAGTATGAAACAACCCGAAGGGATTTTGAGTCAGATGGTAAGGAGACGAAAAGGGACAAGGCATTTTTTGCGACGAACCTGAATTGGTGTCTGAGAAAATTCGTCAGTTTTGGACCAGAAAAGTCGCCGTATTTTGGGCTACAGAATGCTAGCATACTCATCAGTAGAGTATCTGCATCTGTACTCAATAAGGATTTTGAAGAGTAGGATTTTTCACCCTTTTGTAGGAAAACCTACAAGGAAATGGGAGATTCAAAGTCGACTGCACAAAATAACCCATATCGCTGTAGGCGGAACGCACGCGAGCGTGCCTGTAACGCGGCTGCCGAGTGCAGGTGTTATGATGACTCATACCGCGAATGCCTATGTTAGCCTGCAAGAGACACGCTCGACGGGCGTTCAGTCTGAGTGATTTCGTGCAGTGAACTGTACTGGATATACTGAATGAGAGAACAGATAGAAGAAAGTCGGTGGTGCTTGTGGTAAAGATCAGTTTGTGGTGGCAGAATCTTACAATAAGACGCACAAAAGATCTCATCTATTGCTAAGAAAATTATATGTATGTATGAGACCTACTCGTTTTCAAAGTTTTCTGCGTAAGAAAGCCGGCTACGCCAGGCGGTAGAGGAAATTTTCTCATCCCTGTAAATTGTGTGGGTTTGTTTTGAAAAATGGATAAAAGATTTCAAAGTCAAGAATCTACTCTTTACATGCGCTAAGAGCGTCGAATGTGCTGCAGTGAAATTTAAAAGGACAGATAGAGAATGTGGTTGTGCAGTCGTTTAGTCAGGCTCTCCGCTGCTGTGATATCGCCCTGTGATCTCATTGAATTAAACTTAGCTAGAAATGCTAAACAATGCTCATCTCCTCAAATTTCAGTATACCTCCCGCAACATTTCTGGAATTAATTCTTAAGAAACAACCATTCTCTTACATAGTTGTGAGTACCATTGCTAGTATTGTATATCTTCTCGCGCCCTGTTAGTGATACAGAGGCCAAAGGCTTTGCGTGGCATGCTATTTCGTTTCGTCATCTCTCTATCTAAATCTTGCTGCAACTCTGTGCTACAACCTTGTATTGTAATTTACTCAAAAATTTATTTGATAATTATTGTGCTATTGCAGCTGGTCCACGAATCTTCAAACTGAAAAGGAGCATAACCGCGTTTTGACTAAAGCCATTAATTCTGATTGCGCTTACCCATCCGGTACCATAATTCTGTCTTTGTCGGCCAGACTCTGCTATAGGTGATAATAGGCACGATGTTGCTTTCAGATTTGAACACCTCTCCTGTGTAATTGCCAGAACAGAACCTGTTGTGATACGATTCTAGCGAATGCGGAAATAAAATTGGGAACTTGCCTGTATCCGGTACTTCGCTGGTCCTTCTGCGTTTTGATTTCAACACCAGCAAAATAGCATCCTTCGATAGCAACCTGATTCGAAAAGTTGTGGAACTTTACTTCGATATTCCTTCCTAGTGGAGCCTGAAAGAGGTGTAAATTATTTTAGGCTTTTGAAAGACGCACCGGTTACCTCTATCCAGTAGTGGCATTTGAGAAAAAAATCATTTTCAACAGTTTTCTTTATCCATGATTGGCCAATGATATCTTCGAATTTCGAGTAATTTGTTGTAGCTTGTAGCACATTCCCGCAGCCGCTTGGCTGAATTTTGTTCTGTAAAATTTTGCCTGCCAAGCCGTCCCAATTTTTACCCTTTCGTTGCATAATCTGCCTCCATATCCTCCCGGACAAACGCACTTTGAGCAATCTTTTGGATTTGGAAAACCTCCCAGTGCGCATTTGGCTGCTAACGGGTTTGATTTGCATTTTTCTGAAGTACACTAGAAATGTTAAAGAAAATTTCTTTTTATGCTTTTTACCGCATCTACATACCCAGACAGTTGTAATGAGTGTTCATCATGAGTTTATCGTAAAAGGAAACGAAATGGGATCCGAGCGTTTCAGTATACCTTTTGTCTACAGGTATCATTGTATGCCAACGCGACTTATCTGCCGAGAAACTGGTAAAAACGATTTAGTTTTTCGTTTTAATGGAATAATTACAAACCTTCTTGAACCGTAATGCATTATGCTGCCGTACTCATAAGGAAGACCGTAATTATCATTAGTCTCAGTTGTTTGTTTGATAAACTGATCATGCTCGCCAGCCTAAACCATCGATCTATAAACAACAGAACGGCTGAGAGCATTTACCTTAATTTTCGTTTCATCGATTAGTAGGTGCTCGTCACGATCATGTCTGGCATGGTGGTGGAAAAATCCAAGGGCATGACCAATCTCGTGTGCAGCAAGGCCAATCTAAAATCACAACTCTAATACAATTTTCTAGGGGCAGACGACCTACTTTCTTTCAGCTGAATTTTCAGCAACTAGCAGCTAAGATACTTTTACATATGAAAATCAGAAATCATACTTTGTTTTTGAAAATCAGCAGTCGTCGTTACGACCAACTAAATGATCACTCTAAAAAAGTAGCAAAATTTTACTTCGCTTAGATTTCGTGAAAAAACTCTTGCGTCGGTTGCTACGGCTTAGTATCGTACTTTTCGACATTTTTGAGGGAAAGTGAGGCCCTTACCGCTTCGCAGCCTATTCCCAGGGAAAGCGGTTGTACTTTATGTACGTTCCCCACATATGACCAGCAACCTGGCTCGACTACTAACTCAATGCGTTCCGGTGCTAAACGACAGATGCTAAGCCATACTTCTTGCTGACTGCCCGCGAACCATGAATGTACTCATAGAAGCTAAGACAAGTTTCTCTCTGCCATTCCAATGCGCCATGTCTGAAGATATCGCGTATCCTATTAGCTGAAAAAAAAAATTGATTCTGTCATCTCATGAGTACAAGCTAACGGCGAAGGAAACGGTCAGAAGTCGAAGTGGCCAGTTCAAACAAGCTGCATACCATTGACTAGCGTAGAACGCAGACCTCAAATCTGCCTCCCTAACTTTGTAGGCGAAGCTCGCGAAAATTTTTCAAACTATAAAATTGTGAAATTGAGAACATCATTGTCTTTTAAGTCACCATTAGGTATGGACTATATGAAGTTTCCTAGTTGCATGTATTGGCTCAGCATTGAACCGAAGATATTTCTTTACAGCAAGTTTACACTTTGCAACAACGCAACATTTCAGTAAAATAATGGCATTTAATAGCTTATAGCTTTGTTCATTAGTGCAGGCCGATTTAGATTCAGCGTTTTATGCTGCTCTAATGAAGTGCAGCTTGTTTGGATTGGCCACTTCGACTTTCGAACATTCCTTTGTAAGCGCTCACTTGCGTTTTCGGAGAAAGAAAAGTGTACAATGCCATCTGGCCAGATTGTCCTAGGATAGTGTTTACTCCTATATGCTTGACGTTTTCTTCGATAGCGATTATTTCCATTCATGATCTCCTCCACTTGACATCTGTAAATCATGTATGTTATGAGATATTTATGCAAAGCTGGGATTCGTACTCCGTCAATACAATGTCACTCTGGTACAGAAGCTTTCCTATCCCTTCATTCTCGTTAATAGTCACTATATCATCACCAATTGAGCTAGACTGAACAGTTTTCACTTTTACTGACTTCTGAAAAAATATGCTTTTCCAAAGAGAATTTCATCAGATATAAATTACCGCACCTTCTGTAAATTATCAAGAATTGCCATTCTTTGTGGATCGAGGTCGAGACTATCCAAAGCCTTCTGTTTTTGTACGTGGAGTCTTTCTTGCATGTAGAGAAGTTCACTTTTGTTTAAGACCTAATTTATGACATAAGGTTCCTTAACTTAGAAATGTTTTGATTGTTACCTTACTTCTGTGTTTAAGTGTTCTATAGCGTCTCTAAAATCAGCTACATCGGCTTCAACAAAGCTGGCGATTGCAGGAAATAGTAGGGGAAAAATTGAAGGTTTCATTTGATAAGGAGAATTAGATTTTGCTTATTGCAATTGAGGTCGGAGCGGCCGGAGGATGTTTTGCTACTAATTCACAGTTCATATGTGTCGATATGTGCACTCTCGTTCTCTCGGTAGTGGCTAGGCAAACAGCAGAATAAAGCTGTGTGCAGACTAATTTAGGAAAAGCTCAGGGTTTCATATTCTGATATTTCAGAACTCTGCAGTCGTTGCTGGGTGATTTGATTAGTTCAAAAATTGGTCCAATTCTTTTCTGAGTAGCATATGTTTACGCGTTTTAAGTAATGCACACATGATAAACATTTGATAAGGTAAGTCACTCCTGACATCATACACACCCTCTCCGTTATATGGGCGTATTACACAACTTGGAGCTGAACAACCCGGTCATATATATTAAGTTGGCACATATGTAGTGCAAATATAACTTTTGTCTTTTTGAACGTAGCGCATTCATGTTCTGGAGCAAGAATTATGATGTAAACTGCAAATGCGGACATTTTTGCCGAATTTTGCCATCTTACGCAGGGGTTACGGTAGTAGGGTAAAACGAAAAATTTTTTAGATTGCATCAGATTTTGCTGAAACTTGGCCTAGGGGGTTATTCAACATGCTGATCACAAACATAAGACCCCTTTCGCGTAAAAAGGTTTCTTTCGTAAGGTCAAAAAACGAATGTTACCTTAGCGACAAATGAATATGATATTCGTGTTCACCGTATTGGATTACCCCATTGTGCGAAGTTTTGACGAATTCTGAGGTTTCGCAGCTCAACTGTTGACAGATTGCCCTCAAAACTTGACGCATTTGACTTGTTCTACTTATCAAAGGCGCCTTATCTAGTTTGTCTTTGAATTTCACTTCTTTTCTGCTGATTCCAATGTGTCAGCTTCTATCTACATGCTGCCTATAATTCCTTTTTGTATGTTTGATTCAGGTTTTGTATTGCTTCATGTTTGCCAAAAAAACGTAAATCCTCGATTTTCAAGAGTTTTCGAAAAGTGCTCAAATTTTCTCTACTACGTCATCATAAATCAAACAATTTGTGAAGGTTTGCGGCTTACGTCACACTCTAAACGATGTCAAAAAATAAGAGTGCTACATTTAGTAAGAAGAAAATTATGGGAAAAGTTGTAAAACTTATGTGCCAACCTAATATTAGGTTCAGATAAGTTTTGGCAACACTCCTCATAACTTGATTCTCTTTGGATGTTGAGCCCTCAAAATTTGGCAACATGTGGAAAGTAATGCGTTCTACAACTGTGCACAAACTATGTGAAAATTGAATTCGAATTAGAAAAAATTGGAGGGGTTTTTCTAAACGATGAATTTAAGAATTTTTGGGCTTGTAGGCCAAAATGAAGAGTCAGCGTCCTAGACAATGCAAAATGATTTGAAATTGTGTACGAATTATTTGGCAAGGGTCGATTTATTCAACCCAGTAAAAAAGAAATGAAATTCGAAAACAACTTGAGATTTGACGCCTTCACAAAGTTGATAGAGCCGCTGTACGCAAAAATGTTAAGGAAAACCGAGTCCAGGAAGAAGGACAAGCGGCAGATGAGTGATGGGGCCCTCACCATTCGTGGTGAAAAGGTTTCAACACGAAACGTGGGAGGCGTCGACTTTGTCGTCCACCCATCTATCGTCCATCTTGTCGATTTGCACGAGATCCTATCACCTCGTCTAGGCATCCTACGACTACGCCCTCCACGTCCAGTGATCAAGGAGTCGAATTTCGACTGTCGGAACCTCAAACTTACCGAGACTTCGCATATTGGACTTATTCTAAACGAGTATCATACTCATTTGTTAAATCAACGCCCCTTTTCTTAAATGAGGTAAGACCTTAAACCGTGAACCTACTGTAATCTTAGTTTAGAAAAGTCATTATCACGCAAGTCCAGTATTGCTTTCGTGATCAGCATGTCGTATAATTCCCTTGTGCCAAGTTTCAGCCAAATCACTCTTTTTTTGTACCATATATCTACATAATCCTCACTGCGACGTCAGATCGGCAGTAGAGCAGCAGCCTTTGTAGCTTACGTCATAATCCACGCAAATGCAAAATTTGAGTGTGCCATGTTAAAAAAGAAGAAAGTTGTTGAAGTGGTTGCAAAACTTACAAGGGAAGTTACCTAACTTAGCTCGACCTTTTTGCAAAATTTACAAGGGAAGCTACCTAACTTAGCTCGACCTTTTGGCAAAGGACATATATAGTCTGAATCAGCTTCAAACGCTGAGTCCAAATATGCTAATCCTAGCTGTCATGCGCCATTCCGAAGCGAGTTATGGGCTTTTTTCTACGCAAAATTGGCATGCTCATCGACTCACGGGCATCACGTCATCATCATTTAAGTGCTGATACACCTGCGTTAATTTTCTTTTGGTGAGGAAAGATTGGATTTGTACTATTTCGATACCTCAGCATCTTTTTCTTGCAAATTTTTATCTACAGGCAGTCTTCTCATGTTCAGTAGTATGCCAATTTTGCGTAGGAAAAAGCTCATAACTCGCTTCGGAATGGTGCGTGGCAGCTAGGAATATCATATTTGAAAATGAGCGTTTTGAGCTGATTCAGAATATGTACGCCTTTTACCAAAAGGCCGAGCCAAGTTAGGTAGCTTTCCTTACTAGTTTTCAATCTAATACAATTGCCAGTCGGTGGATATCTTGAAAACCAAGACGCTGATTTCAACTCTGCCTTTCCTATCTGCGAAACTCTCCTGAGAAGTTACGAGCGTTTATTAGATTGATAGCAAATGTGCGAATAAATAGTAGTCTCAACTTTCTGCTAGGGCTTAAATAAACAATAGTTTTCAGGGAATTCTAGATGAAACTAGAGGAGATATAATTACGTCGGTTGCCTTATAGTGCTAGGGAAATCTCAATAACTGATTACATCCTAGTCAAGCATTCAATTTGCTCCGATAAATTTTCACAACTCCTCGGGCGAGATTTTGTATCAGTGTTTCAAGCACTGTAAAGTGGTATACATCGCATCATGGAAAACCACTTCGACTGAAAAACATCCTTCTTTTATTAGGACACACCTTCCAGCTCAGCGCTGCGTACGAGTGACATGAACCTTTCCGTAGGTCGAAAGAAAGTGAGTTATAATGATCACATCGAGGTTCCTGCATGAGGTTGAGAGAACCTAGCATGCGCAACGCTGCGAATCTTGCGCATTTTTGTAGGAAGATATAATCTGCCATGCTATGATTGTCAAAAAAAATTTTTTTTGGTCCTTAATTTTGAGAATGACCTTCGGGCTATATCTGTAGAGCTAAATATGTATCGTCGTCTCCCCGGTGTACGTTGGGCGGAGCATTTGCGGACATTTGAACACGTTGGCGATTTGTTAAACCTCTACTGCTAAGCATGGTTCTTTGTACTCTCTAAACTGCCACGTATATATGAGGTTGTCATACGTGGCAGAGTTGGTAGCGAGAGATCACAAAAAACTATATCTTGCAGTAGAGGGTTGACAAGTTCACCAACATGCTCAGATGTCTGCAAAGCTCCGCCCAACGTACACCGGGGAGGCGACGACACCAGATGTTACATGTTTAACGTAATTATAATGCTTTAAGTTATCTTCGCAAAACCTTCATTGATCTCAAAAACCTATTACTTGTGCATTTTCTCTCGGCGGATCACGTTAGGATTACCAAACCATGATCCTAGTTCGCTAGAGTTGTAGCTGAACGTCTATAACTTTGTCAGCTTAATAAGCGCAACGTCATGCAACTCCTAGTATTTGTCTCTGCTTGTTCCACATCCAAGAAAGGTTCACCAGTTTGAGTTAGAAGTTAGAATTAGTTGAAAGTTCACTTGGATTTTTCTCGTCTTTTGGCAATTCTTTGAACTCTCTTGTTGCCAGTCATTAATTAAGTCTAGAGGGTTTACTGGCTGTGCATTCGTTATGTTACTTTACTCTGTGTGAGAGAAACGTCTGATGTTATGACGAAGCAAATAACACATACTTATAAAGAGTCTACCAATAGAAACTTTTATATGTTTTCTTGTTCGTCTATGCAAGTTTGGAATTTGACCAACGAATGTGTTATACATCAGTAACACCTGACATCCTCCCGCACAGATCGTTGAGTCATGCCTGCGTCTCTCGAGAGGCAATTGTATGGCTCATACATCCGTCTCAACCACATTAGACATGTGATACTTGAAGCGGCACACGGCTAAACCTTCAGTCCAATCTATGAGTGGCTTTCCAATCTATGATTATAACATGAGGCCATTGTTACTGATAAAAGAACCATCTAATGCCCATGACACGAAAGACAAATTCACGAATATCCCTAGTTTCCAATTAACGAAAACTGAAATTATTACTGAGTACTTTTTGGCTTCATCCGTAAGCTCTCCTTTACAATTTTGCCAAAAAATTCTCTGACAAGATGTTCCTCGATTTTCAGCAAAAAAGCACTACCCGTCTGCGCAACTCCTGTAAACCAGATACGACATACAAATACCCGGTCATGATGAATGCCGTGGAGGCAGTGTTTAGGTCTAGCTGAAAGGTTGTTGTACTGCTTTATAGGCCTAGGCTAGCGAGAACAAGCTTGTGCGAAAGCTGTCGTCACCAACAATAATTTGCGGCTGGTAAGTGCACAAGTTGAACGATGGATTGACAGTCCTTCCAAATGTGCGCCTGACCTTCTATCCCCAAAAATCGCCTTGAACTCCGGTTTTCTCTTATACTCCAACTTTTGGGCCAGTATACATAACACCCTTGCGGCGGAAGGGGCGGCGTTCCCCGCTATGAAGGGGCCGCGTGCGAATGACATGCGGCTTTTTCGTGGGGCAATGCTGAATTTAGTTTTGCAGCGACTTTGTGAGGAAAAAAAGGATCCTTTGAAACTTCAGTGATAACAAGGCTTTATGACTCAGCATTGGAGAATCGATGACTTATTGTCCAAAACAGCTGCGAAAGGGATCTTTCGCAGCTGTTTTGGACAATAAGTCAATCGATTCTCCAATGCTGAGTCATAAAGCCTTGTTATCACTGAAGTTATTTGAACGACGCCTTCGAGCCTTTTTTCATTTTCAAAAGCCTTTTTCTTCCGAATTTTGAATTTGCTAATCATTTCTTTGCTCACGCACTTGCGCATACTCCTCAAAGTCATGTATAAAAAAGGATTACTAGGATTAAGCGTTGACTGAGCGCTTTCGACTCTGGGGGGGGGGAGGAGGTACGGAACAAAGATCGCCTAAAAATTATGCTTATGCTAAGATCAAGAAAGTAAGGAATAAAATCACTAGATCAGTAAATGTAAATCTTACACTAACATCGGTTTCTGACTCCAGAATTCAAGAGTGCCAGAGGAGTACGTCCAGTGGATAAAGTTGTTCCACAACAACGCTTCAAGCCATTTGCAAACAGCTGCAGGGCAATCGAAAGATTCCAAATCAAGGTTGGAGTACACCAAGGTTCCGCACTGTGATGAACGCCGTGATGGAACCGCTCAGAAGTGAACCTCTTTGAACACTTCTCTACACAGATGATGTGGTCTTAATAGCAAGTACCAGGAAGGAGCTACAAGACGAGGTACAAAACTGAAAAAACAGGCTAGAGTTGTATGGCCTGAAGCTCAACACTAGGAAGACAGAATATATCAAAGTGGGGAACAAACTCCTGGTACCATAAACATCGATGGTGAAGAGCTAAAGAAGACAGCCATACAAGTCTTTTGGCAGTCACATTTCAGCGGAGAGAGGCTTACAAGAGGAGGTCGTAGGGAGGGTGCAATGGGGAGTCTTGACAGGAGTTTTGTGCGAGAGCAGAATGCGAGTGCTTTAACTCTCAACTGTACCTTAGCTTGCTCAGCAACACTGTACGGCAGTGAACTGGTCGCGTATTTGGATTTGGAACGAGGAGCGCAAACTCAGTGTCATAGAAAGGATCACATTTGCAATAACACTATACAAGCACAAATGAAATTAGCTTTTAATACCCAGAAAATGCAGGAAAGGAGCTGACAAGGATATGAACATGTGCGCAGAAAGGGATGGAAGTCACATCGCAAAGTTAGCGGTGTGTGGAGGTACCAGGCAAAAGACCCAGAGGTAGACAAGGTGAGGTGGATGGACAGAACTACAGTCGACTCCCGAAATTTAATTAGACAAAGACCTTGCCTCAAATAAAACGACAAGGAGACATCTGACAAGAAAAGCAGACCCTGCATAAACAGGACACTTGCGAGGATATAAAAAGGGACAACAAATTTTAACTCAGCGTTTCAAGCTGATTCCAAGTATATGTGTGGTTTCAAAAGACCGACGACCTAGGTTTAAAACCTTCCCATGTTAGTTTAGTGTGACCTTTTGCCCTTCTTTCATGTCTCTTCAGTTTCCACTTTCTTTTGAGTAAGCATTTGAGCGAAGCTGTTTATTGTGATGTCATTGCTAGATAACTCTTGAGAAAGTTGATTTTTCAACAGTGTTTGTCGATACTTTTTTTTACTCAAACTGAAAGATGTTCAAATCGATTTGCTGAAAACTTTGCAGAAGGTTCGGATAGCCTACCCATTCGGTACCACAGTACTGTCCTGACCGGCCAAACCCTGCTGTAGGTGATAATAGGCACAATGTTGCTTTCAGATCTCAATACCTCTCCCATATAATAAGGAGAACAAAATCTGAAGTGGGATACTTCTAGCAACAGAACGGTTGGATTCGACTACCTGCCTATATCCCGTGCTACGCTGATCCTTCTGTGTTTTGATTTCAACACCAGCATAATAGCATCCAGAGATAGTAAAATGTTTTGTAAGGCTTTGAATTTTTATCTCGATACTTCTTCCTTGTGGCGCCTGCGAGAATGCGGGTTGTTTCCTCTTCAAAGCCATCGGGACTGGTCTTACCGCTATCCAGTAATTACACTTGAAGAAGTCGTTTTCGTCAAGGCCGTTCACTCCAGCTTTACCAACAATGTTTTCAAGTCTCGTGTATTCTGTGATGGCTTTCAAGACTTCACCGCAACCCTCTGGCTGAGTCTTACTCTAAACATATCTTACAAAATAAAATTAGTTCTTACCCTCTCGTTGCAAAATCTGCCTCCATAACCTCCGGGACACACACATTTCAAGCAATCTTTGGGATTAGGAAAACCTCCCATCGCGCATTTTGCCGCTGAGGGGTTTGATTTGCATTTTTCTGGAATAAAGCGTAAATCAACTCTAAAGAATTCTCACTACTTATCTTTACTGGTTTAACTACCTAGACAGTTGTAGTGAGTGTTCATCATGAGCTTGTCGTAAAAGGAAACGAAGTGTGAACCCATAGTATCAAGGTACATTCTGTCGACAGGTATCATTGTATGGTACAATTTCTTGTCTACCGAGAAACTGCGAAAAGTCTCGTTGCTCAAACATTACCTTTATAGAAAAAAAGCAAACCTCTTTGAATTGTAATGCATTATGCTACCGTAATCATAAGGAATACCATAGTTGTCATTAGTTTGCGTAGTTTCTTTAGCAAATTGTTTGTGCAAACCCTCCTAAAATTAGGTAGTAGAAGTTTGAACACAAAAAAAACTGTTTTTTACCCTGATTTTGGTTTCATCAATCAATACATATTCGTCGCGGTCATGTCTTGTATGGGTGTGGAACAGGCCAAGAGCATGACCAATTTCGTGCGCAGCAATGCCGATCTGTTTGCATAACATATGTGTACATTACAGAGTTCTTTGGCAATAAAGGTCCAGGGCATGAAGTGCTTTCATCATTTCCAACGAGGCACACAAGAATTTGCTAGTAAATTAGGCAACGTCGATCAAACAGCTCGTCAGACGAGAAATTTCTGCTAAACTATCGCCACTGCAAATATCTTACAAAACATTTTCTTGAACCGTAGAGACTCTCTTAGCCACACCAACACAGTCTTTAGAAGAAAGAAGTCAAAGAAACTTACAGCGTGGCAGCCTGTTCCCAAAGAGAGTGGTTGTACTTTATGTAGGTTTCCCAAGTATGACCAGCAGCCAGATGCTCTCATCAACTCGATGCGTTCTGGTGCTAAATGAAGTATAGCATATGGTACTAGTTGCATCTGTCGGCAGAATCAAGCGTGAGGTATGGTATCCTTGCCCCTCCCCTCGGTCACCGCAAACCTATATAAACGACTCTCTCGTCTTTCTGTCTCTCTGTCTCTCTCTCTTTACCTCCAGAGTACTGACACCCAAAAATCAGCCAGTGCTGATAAGCAGATTTCGAAATCTAGCTTGACTAGTACCTGCGAAAGCGCAGGATCGCAGGTGTAAAGGATTTGCTATCGCTCTGTGAAATCATATGTAAAAGAAAGAAGTCTCAAGTACCAACAAACAGTTTTAAGCTCAAAGCTCATATCAAACAACCGGCCTAGCACTAAACTACAAAAGGTCTGTCAGCTAGATCTTTTGTAATAGATTTGTGCCAAATCTTATCAAATTTAAGCTGAAAAAACAGGTAAACTTGAGATTATCCGATTTCAAAAACATCCATTTACTGTATTAATTTATGTATAGTCTCTTGCAAATTTGCAATCGTAAACCGGAGGTGAGGAAAATTTGGATGTGTTAGTCGAAATCCCTGCGATTTTTTCCTTGCTTCGTAAAAGGTAAAAGTGAAAGGTGAATTTTTAGAAAAGGTAAATTTAATTGAGCGCAACTCTTTCAAAAAAGACAGCCACTTATCTGGCATGTTATCCATAATGGGAATAGGGAAACAGTAAAAAACTAAGGCCGCATGCACTAACCTCCCCGCTGGGGAGGGGATTGCAGCTTAGAAGAAAGCTTCATATTTTGAAGCTCCAGATATCTGGATTTCATGTTGTGTACCTATCCGTAAGTATTCCTATTGCCCTTCACTATGAACATGTTGAACAGGAGCGAGAAGCTGTACAAACCGCATTTTCCAGCTTTTGTATGATACCTAATCCCCGGCGCTTTTCTTTAAAGCCATTTTTCTTTCTCCGAAGTTAACGAAAACCTTCCAAAGTTGTACTGAAGATCTAACACAACAGTGCTAAGCATATTGCTGATGAGAACAAATGAGTTTTTGAAAAGTCGAATTTTTCGGTAAACCACAAATTTTGACCTGTGAATCATCGAAAATTTCATGACTTCAAAACATCATTTGTTCTTATCAGCAACATGCTTAGGACTGTTGGGTTAGACAATCTGCACAACTTTGGAGGTTTTTCGTTACCTTCGAAGAAAGAAAAATGACTTCAAAGAAAAGCGACGGGGATCATCAGGGATCATACAAAAGCTGGAAAATGCGGTTTGTACAGCTTCTCGCTCCTGCTCAACATGTTCATAAAGAAGGGTAGTAGGAATACTTACGGATAGGTACACAACGTGAAATCCAGATGTCTGGAGTTTGGAAATATGAAGCTTTCTTTTTAGCTGCAATCCCCTCCCCGCGGGGATGTTAGTGCATGCGGCCCTAAGAGTCGCATGCATTGGCATCCCCGCTGGGGAGGGGATCGCAATTTAGAAAGAAAGCCTCGTAACTTGAAGCTCTTCTGATATTTGGATTTCACGCCTATACCTATCCGTAAGTATTCCTATAGGCGATTCATAGCACGCAAAGACTGCGGACATATTGGCGTCTCCGTGATCGAGCGCTCTTTCGTTTTTCTTACCGTCTGCTGTCTCTCTTATGCACAAACTATCAACGGCGCAACGGCGCTTAGTCTTTGCGTGATATGAATCGACGATAACTTCCTTTACTATGAACATATTAAACAGTAGCGAAAAGCTGTGCAAGCCGCATTTTCCACCATTCTGTATGATCCCCTGAAGATTTCCGGTGGTCGACCATTTTTTAAACACTTTCACTTTTCTTTATTCGAATTCAACGAAAACCTTACAAAGAAGTACTGAACATCTAACACAACAGTGCTAAACATGTTGCCGATAAAAACAGGTGAGTTTTTTGAAAATCGAGTTTTTCGATAAACCTCAACTTTCGACTTGCGGTTCATCGCAAATTTCATAACTCCAACACATCGTTTGTTCTTAACAGCAACATGCTTAGCACTGTTGGGCTAGATGAAACAGTACAACTTTAGAATGTTTTTGCTAACTATGGAGAAAGAAAAGTGACTTTGAAGAAAAAACGGTTGACCGCCATGGATCATCAGGATCATACAAAATGTCAGAAAATGTAATGCATGCGGTTCTAAGACAGCAAACACATCCTTTCAATCCCTTCTCTCTCCGTTCTCTCTCTCCCCCCCCCCCTCCCTTGCCCAAGAGACTGACAGAGGCGCGCTTTCTTCAAAAATGACCACTTCAACATCCAATTTAGACAATGTACGCCTTCCAAAAAATACCAGGCGAAGCTTTCTAGCCACTACTATTTGAAATTATCATTTGAATGTTTTGGCAAAATACCAATGATTGCATTTTCGGTTTTTGAACTCCGATATATATGTTCTGAGTCTGTTTGAAGATAATAATCTTGAGCAGCCCATGCATCATTCTTCGTTCTCACAAGGAATACGTGTCTAATTGAATTGGCCTTTTTAAATGGGATGTATAATTGAAGGGCATGAAATGCTAATTCCTCTACCTTCCTTATCTGCAGAGCATTTACAGGCAAGGAGTTATGAGCGCTTATTGGAGCAAAAAATTGAATGTGCAAGTAGGAGAAAAATATCAATATATTTTTTAGTTCTTTAATGGGGCAGTGTTAATCATCAGAGCACTTTTTCTAAAAAATACTCTACAATAAAACTATTTCACACTTGGTTGCATTATTTGAGGGCTAGTAAGATTTTAGCAACTCATTTTATCCTGAATGCACATTCGATTTTTAACTTCAAAAACGCTCATAACTCCTTGTCTATAAAAGTTGTGCAGATAAGGAAGGCAGTTTTAGAATCAGCGTTTCATGCCTATTAATATGACATACGTCTCATTTAGAAAGGCCACTTCGATTAAACAAGCTTCCCTTGTCAGACATTTCAAAGGTCTCTAGAACATATTGAGCACTAACAATGCTCTATTCAATGTCCATCTAGAAATTAAAAATAGATTTTCTTGACCTAACTCTCCTCCTACTCCTTTTTGTAGCGCACCACCCACGCTTTATCCGTTTCTGATGCGCACCATGGTTATACTCATAGAACCTGAGGCAAGTTACTCTCTGCCATTCCAGTGCACCATGCCTAAAGAGATCTCGTATTCTGTTGCCTAAAAGCAAGCACTGTTGTTACTTTTTCTCTGGCGTTATTTGAACGCTTACTTGCGTTAGAATGTAAGGAAAAGTGTACGACACCATCAGGCCAGATTGTCCAAGGATAGTTTTTGTCTTTGAAGGCTTGACGTTTTCTTCGATCATGCCTATTTCTATTCATCATTTCGTCCACTTGCCACCTGTAATAATCGTAGACTTAAAAGAATTTGTAAAATTAATCTCATACTTGGTCAGTACGATGTCACCCTGGTACAGAAATTTTCCTATCCCTTCATTCTCGTTGACAGTTTCTATGTCACCACCGAGTGTTTCAAACTGTGATCGTTGTACATGTGGCAGCTTCTAAAAGTGAGAGCGTTTTGCTTCAGAAGTAATAAAAAACATCAAGCGAAACAATAGCCTCACCTTTCCTAGATTGTACAGCATTGCCTTTCTTTGTGGACTAAGTTTGAGGCTATTTACAGTGTTTTGTTTCTGTTCATAAAGTCTTTCATGCATGTATAGAAGTTCAGTTTTGTTCAAGAACTAAATTATGACTAAGCAATACTAAAATTGTTGAAGCTCTTTACCGTACTTCCGTTATACGACTCATCTCCTCCTCAATGTTCTTGATTGTGCTGCTCTGAACAAAGCTAACGAATACAGGAGATAGAAAGAAGAAAGATGATATTCTCATTCTGAAGAACATGAATTCGTTGAATTTGGCGGCAAATGCAACGTCAGCGAAAATTTCCCTTAGCACAACGATTTTTTCTATCGCGGCTATGCAAACAGCAGAAAAAACAGTGTATGCGCAGAACTTTGAGACAAGGTTTGAACATTTGCTTCTAAACAACGGAATTCAAATTGATGTGGAATGGCGCAATGCTTAGGCTAAGCACAGATGTGTTCTGGTGAAGAATGTCAGTTCGCAAGCTAACTATTTTACCGGCTGCTCAATGGATAGTTGCGGGGAACATTGTGAAAAAACTTTAAATCCGCCCATTACTTTGAAACAAAAGGACCTAAATAAATAAAAGCTTGAAGACGACGCCCGAACCAGAACATTAATGGAATCTGCCCTGCCGATACTGCAAAGTGATCCAAACCACTCCTGGATGCTTCTGAAGGACAACATCCATCAGATAGCTGGCGACCTACTAGGCCGCACGAAGCCAGGGAGACGGAAGCTCGAGAAAAAAAACATGGTGGTGGAGTGACGAAGTGCAGATCGTGGTAAACAACAAGAAGACGGCATACGAAATATGGCAGAAGACACGATCAAATAAAATACATAAAAAATAAATAAATAATTACATAAGTACATAAATTTTCCAAAATATTTTTGCGCGAAAGAGCAAGACGAGACAGCGGTTTTTCTACTACTACATGTTCAGACCCACTTTCGAAATGCAAAGCAAAGTCCATAATCATACTCGTTTTGTTATAAAAAGCCATCTAGACGTAGTTGATTAGCTACGAATTCACTAGCATTGTATTTTTTCGTTCGTGATTGATACATTCTTTGGAGGATTTTTAACCAGCATTTTGTTTCGTTCTTTTAATTTTGGACGTCTGGCTCTCTACTAGCATGTATTAAATAGTTCAATGCACCCAGATTGTAATGATAAAGATAAATATAAGGATAAAGACGAACAGATTACGCTTGTCCCTGAATAACTCAGATCAAAATTTCTAGCAAATCTGTTTCAGTAAACTTTGTAGCCTAGGTCTCTAGCAGACATGGCAAGTGTTTTCAAAAAAAAATTCCACCTTTGCGCTTAGAGTCTAGGCAAATGGGCGAAGGAAGAAATTGTCAGATTCATTTTCATCGTCTTTCGATAGGAGCACTTGAATGTACAGAGTCTAAGCGAGGAATTTTTGGTATCAAGAATATTCATAAATTGGTTTCTTCTTTACAGCAGTGTGTGGGAAAAAAGATTTTAAAATGTTCACTACTTGTGGAGTAACTAACAATTTGAAAATAGATCTTCGAACGTTTTAAAAAGGCTGTTTCGAATTGCCACAAACGCTATATCAGCAATGATGTTTTTTTGACAAAGCACAAGTAATCAGAACAGCTGTGTATATAATACAGTTTTAAAGCTGTGGAAACTACACATGTTTCCATTACCATCGCTTCTTGAAGTATTTTGTCTACGAACTGCTGCTGATGGAATCACAAGTTCTTTAAGTCTTGTTTAATCTAATAGGAATTTCAAACCTCCATCAGAGTAATCGCTGTTTGCAAAATCAATACTAAAACCACACGAGAATTTCTAACTTGAGTACTACAGTCAAACAACTGAGCACATAGTGTGGACCTACAGCCGTTTATAGGTCCACTCGTATCACTTCGCCTGTAGATCAAGATGTTGCTCCGGTCTTCAGATTCGATTCGCTAAGTAGCACTTTGCCTTCTAGTGAGAAAATCATTGAGGACTTTACTGGAAATTCAAACCCTCGCTTGTGAAACGTGATAAACTCTCAAGCAAGAACTTACGCAAAGTTGTATTACTGGAGTACCGTTCGAAAGAAATAGTCGCCTTCTAACTACCACAGTGAGGCCATTTGCAAACAATCTTCCAACCTCAACTTTCTTTGATCCTGGCATTGATGTGTGTTGTTAAGCAAACGACAAAGATGGTAACTTCTCTTACTAACTTCGGCCAACGTTTCGGCGCTATCGCCTCCCTCAGAGTCTAAAGCCTAAAGCCCTGGGCAGAGCTCATGCGACTTCGTAGCGTCGCGCCCTATCATTTTGTACAAGTGGTCCACGCTGTTTAGTGTGTGGGTCCTCCCTATGCGTTTGTGATGGCTGCGCGGCATGACCGATCGTGCCAAACTTTTTGGCGTTCAAGCTCACTTGGCGATATCGCCGCGATTTTGCCGAATCGGCGCGATGTCGCGTCGCTCGTTTGCGGCGAGCGACGGTGCGACCATCGATTTTGGACTCCATTTTCGATGTTATTGTTGTAAGTTGCTGTTTTCTCTTTTGATTATGAGTGTTTTTGCATGAAATGTTGCAAATGCCAATTTATGCCTATCCTTGCATTGTTTGATGAAGGAGTTAGTCCTCATTTTACATTTTTTCCCGTCTTTCATCTACACTTTCCTACATCTCATATATCTAGGCTGCCAAAAAGATCCGTTACAAGCGCTAACCTGTTCGATTGCGTATCGAATAATCAAAGAATGTGCTCACAGTCTACGTTGTGATATGCAGCAAACTACGAGATAGAGCTTTGCATGAGGTAATAGTAGTATTTTCGTCTATCATGTGCAGCACATGGATGACGTTTCTAGAGCTGAAAACATCGTTTTGCCGCGTGACGGTTCTTTCGGAATGTCCGCAGCCACTGGTGGCCTTACTGGTACTTGTTTCCTATTTCTAATTGATTCTTCCCAACAGTCATTTGATTATGAGCCATTTTTTCAAGACCACGATGTCGTTGACTTCTCCTTTTATTGTTGATCATTTGGGTGCATAACGTCGTGATTGGTGTCAAGTCGGATGCTATGTGATAAACTTTTAAACTTTCTTTGTCTGCTGTTACACCTTTTTTAATGACAGTGATGTAGTAAAGTCAACGAGAGCACTGATTTTCGGTGATGAATTAGAGTACGTGCAATGTGTAAACTGTTGTGCAATTGCATGAAGTCGCGACGGAGGTATGCACGCCTCCGGCGACTGAGCGACTCAGTCGCCGCATCCAGTCTCCACTTCCGTGCAAGTCGTCGCGCCTGAAGATCGCGACGACTTCGTCGCGTGAGCTCTGCCCAGGGCCTAAGGCATACCTCGCGCAATTCCAGTCGCTGCGCGATTTCCATGTAGGACATAAGTTCCGAGTCAGGTGCTCAACTTATTGCCTAGGTAGAGGAACGAACAGCGCGATTAGGCCGTTCGCATTGATCCCGAAGTCCGAGAACAATTCCAGCACTCCGCTCAGTTCGAGTTTTTTTCAGTTCGAGCGCTGTGCTGGAGCTGTTTCCGAACTTCCGAACCAGTATAAACGCAGCCTTAGGCACCGCCTCCGCGGGCTGCTGGCCCTTTCGTCCTGCTGTTGTGCATCGTGATAGGACCACTAGTCCACTGAGGCGGTGCCTAATTGGGGTGTTCATTCCTCCAACCTTACTATCCGTAAGCTAAACACCTGGAACAAGCCTTTCAGATATAATGTTTCAAATTCTGCAATTCTGAGTTTGGTGCCAGCAAAATGCGTAGGGCACCTGCTAACCTCAGAGAGCTGTAAAAAATTACTACATAGCAGTTGCTCCCGCACATCACTGTGGAGGCTTATGTTGCCAAAAGAAATGCTGTAATAAGAAATTTTTTCCTGTAAAGTAACTTTTTCCGCTAAGTTTTCGCATCCATGCGAGATCAAAGCCTGCCACAATGATGTGCGTAATTCTGCATTGTAAGGAATTTTTAGAGATATTTTGAGGCTAGCTAGCTTTCCTCCGTGATTTTCCAGCATGAAACATAAACAGCAAAATTTGAAATTCTATTTTAAAAGGCTTTGTTCTCAGTGGCTAGCTCTTATAAAGTTTCGCTTAAACATCGATCATGGAGCAGGAGCTTTTCATTATTTTCTTTGGGAAACAGAATGGTGAATTCAGGTCATGCAATAATCTTCATTCGAGCAAAAACTTTTGTTTCATCCTAATAGAATTGAATCACTGGACTCTTGATAGACACAAAAAGTTACCAGTTTGCGAGTTTGTGCTCTTAGCTGTCCTTTATGGTCTCAAAAGCATGAGTAATTCTTTGACATCCATCCGGAATGGGTTCACATAATCGAAAAATTATATGAATTTTCAAAAAGTTTGTTCCTAAACAAATGAGAGGAGATTGTTACCATCAATCTTATTATGATGAAGTCGAAAGTGTCGAAAATTTACCGACAAGGTTGTTAGAACTTTGCTAGATTAGAACTAGCATTCTTCATTAGAACTTTGCTTATGGATAAGAGCATCAGCCCCATCATCGCTAGAGAAGTTCTTTCTGAATGTTATAATAATTACGACTAACTGTACGGGGATTGGATGAATTAATTATCATCTTTTTTTAGCCTTTTAGGGCAGAGCAATTTCATTTGTGGCCTATCAATCATTTGCTGCAGACTGCAGCCCTTCGACTATTCCCGAATTTTACATAATTTTGTCCTCTCATCTATTGTTATATGTTTCTTCCTCATTATTCGCACATGTGTTTTCGTTGGTCAACGGGCAATGAATGGAAAGCGTGAGCTTATGAGCACGCATTGCCGAAGTGGCATTGTGAGCTCCTGGCAACGGAAGAACATTTCGAGCTCAAAGCACTCTATACGAATTCGATGTCGTGTTCACTTCAGGTGCAACTCGGCTTTTTTCTTTCATGCTTAGTTTGGAAAAGTAAGTTTGACCTTGCGCGACTGCCCTACAGTATACTATTGCTCTTATAGAACCTTGTTAAATCCCTCTTCAGTCCCAGGAATTTTTGGAATTTGAGAAAAAGAGTTTCTTTGTAAAGTTTCTAGGATGTCTTTTTACGTTTCAGCCGAGCTTACATTCTACCATCATCAAATAGGGGAGCGTAGCGATAGCCATCTTTGCAAAAACATCTTATAAAGTTGTTTTAAAATTTTACAAACGTTTTTAAATTATTTCAATAATTACACCTAGAAGAAAGCGATCTAATCAAACCCTAACATATGAAGATCATAAAGACTTTACTGAAAAGTTTCCGATCAATTCTTGTTCTGAGGAGGGGGTCAAGGGAGGAAGAGAAGGCCCTTAGAATTTTTCGCCCCAAATTATTCTGACACCATTTTCCATCTCTTCCCTTGACAATATTTCTACTTTTTTCAGTCTCATCCCAATGCTCCACTGACCAGTTTGCGTGTTTGGATGGATCCAAATGTATACCACTCCTATGGCTATGTGATGGAGCTCGAGATTGTCCTGATGGCAGTGATGAAAAGCACTCAAAATGTCATCCACATTTGAGTACGTTATCAATAATCAAAATCAAGTAAAAAGACGAAAGATGAGCCAAAGGGATGCCCTTTGCTACTTACGATTCTAGTAGAAAACCGATGTATTCAAAAGATAGCAAACTTCTTTCATCATCACCTTCTCTCACGCCTTAAAGGCAGCGTCCACCCAAAATCTTCCTGAATTAGCTTATTCTACTAGCAGACCCTAAAAATAGGCCAAGCCGTTGGCCCGATCAGCTAATGTTGCCTACAAAAGGAGATAACGGACCGGATCCTCCTCGCTCTCCGCCCCTTTTTTGCGCTCCACCCACCCAGAGATCGCCCCGTGACGTTTCTGACATGACAAGCAACGTCGAAACGCTTAGTTTGTGATGTGACACTGTTGCACAAGACGGGGTTTCCTGCAGCATACGACGTAACTAGCGCCGAGGCACTCGTCCACGTCTACCGAATTGAGGCTTCAAAAGAGGCAATTTTGAGTTTTCGTGATATGAACCTCATATCCGGAATCAGCGCCATGAAAAGGCCCGGTAACAGTAAGAACACGAAAGAAGAAATTTTGGTGAAGGCTGCCTTTAAGCATTTGGAAGGATATTTTTGCCCTGCAGTTTTTTGCAGTCAATATGTATTTTGCCGTCCATACAAAATATCTAATTCTTGTAAAAATAATCGCAGCTTGTACAAACAAAGAGCATTCTAACAATCGATTCAAACTTATTCTATCAGACGCTTCGCACAGCAATCGTAAGCGTAGATTTTTTGTGTCTACAGCAGGTGATAAATTTTTTTCTCGCAAAACGCGACACGCGAAATTGGGCAATTGCCTGTTTTGTTGTGAAATAAAGACTTGCCCTATTTTCTCGTAATCTCTTGTCTCTTCTAAACTTTACTGCTTGCTTAAATAGGCTTTTTTCTAGCTTCTGTTATGACAACACCTTTTTTATTGTGTTATCTGTCATTATCTCTCATTTTCTAAGCATCCATTGTGCAGAGTATTCTCTAAATGATACATTTAAATGGCGGTTTATTTTTTATTTTATTGGGCCAATGACACAATACCGTACCAGATAAAGTAACGGTAACACAAGTAACAAGTTTTGAACAGCAGTTTTTCAGCAAGAAAAACACTTTTGCTATCATTTACTGCAGAAATAATACTAGGTTGGCACTTAAGTTTTACAACTTATCTCATAAATTTTCTCTTTTTGGCTGTGACGCATTTTTGGACATAATGCAGATTAGATAATAAGAAATATACGCAATTCGTTTGATTTTGGTAGCAACGTGGAGAAAATTTATGCAATTTTCGAAAGCTGGTCAAATTCGAAATTTCAAGGGTAGGAAAATCAAAGATAGCCGTTTTAAAACTCCATCGAACATATCAAGCCGAAACTGTACCCAGATTGTTGACGGAAGAATCTTTGATTGTCCTAAACAGTTTCAGCTTGATGTGTCTGATCCGGACTGAACGGCTTTATTTTTGGTTTTCCGACCCTTGAAATCGAATATGACCAGCTCTGGCAAAATGCGTATTTCTTCTCCATCGCTACCAAAAAAAAAAACTAATTGCGTAATTTGTTACTACGTATCCTACATTATGCCCACAAATGAATCCGTCACAGTCAAAAAGAGAGAAGTTACGAAGCAAGTTGCAAAACTTATGTGCCGACCTTACATGAGACCCATTTTTATTGACCAAACCGCAAATTATATTGATGAACAGCACTTCTTCAGACGACATCAAATGTTTCGGAAACCAACCAGAATGTCTTCATGGTGGTGTTGGAAGATGTATACCAAACGAATGGCTTTGCGATGGACATAAAGTTCGGTCGCCGCATGAATTTCATGTTTTCTATGAAAGACTCTTTAGGACTGCGATAACGGAGAAGACGAATTTAATTGTAATGGTAATAGCGGGGTCACTGGAGCAGATGGATGCGGTCCAGGACAACACAGGTATTATTTTTTTATGGAACTATCAATTTATGCAGCCCTAAAAATCGAGTAGTCGCATTTTCTTATGACGATATCCACAACTGCAGAAAATTGCGAATTTACTCGTCAATGAATAAATGCTGATGAATAATTGAGGATGAGTCAAAAAGTTTCCACCTTTTCTTTTTTGCAGGGCCGGAGACATGATATTTATCCCAAAGAAAATATTTTGATGGAGATTTTGGAGCGTGTATTAGCAAGAGACGGACGCTTCCATTTTTTTCATCAATGCTGCGTAATTACCAGAACATTAGACGTGAAATTTCTGAAAATCTAGATACCAGTGGCGGTCCCAGGATTTTCGTCCGAGGGGGGGGGGAATCTGGAAGGTGCGTGAAAAAAAAAACGGAAATTTTTGGCATGCCTTCCAATTTTCTCTCCGGATCCATAACTCCCAAATTCCAAAAAAAAGGCTGGAAATGGACACGCCCCCGACAAATTTTTTACGGGGTTAATTAAAATTTTTGAAAATTTTCAAATGTATTTTGACTATTAACATGTGTGTATAGGTCAGTTGGCACAATTTTATAATTCATGTAGGTAACTTCGAAATTTCATGACCCAATCTCGGGAAAGGATGGGGGGAGTCCCTCGGTCCGGAACTGCCAGATACCAATAACCCATATGAAATTTTTGAATTTTCTCTTTTCTGGTGGATTTTCTTACAGCCACATTTCAGCTGTGCAGGTAAATGTGTATCCCTGAGCAAACGATGTGAAGATTCACAACCCAAAGGAAAGATCACCTACACTACAAGTTCAACTAAGGACATTAGCCTTACTTCAACTGCAACCACGGCTAAGAAAATTATTTCTACTGCAAGCACGGCTAAGAGTACTGTATCTACTGCACGCACGGCGAAAGATATTATTCCCATTAAAACGACGACTAGGAATATTCTTACCACGACCAAATATACTACGCAAAAAGCAGGAAAAATAACTACAGCTACGAGCACAAGTAAGTTTTGACTTAAATCTTTTTCAAAATAGCTTTAATCTTATCATTTTGAGATGTACACGTTTTTATTTGATTACACTTTACATTGGCTTTCTATTCGTGAACAAAGGGTGTTCTCTCCTTAGTGAATTTGTGGAAGACCTACAAAGAAATCGAATCCTCAGACAAGAAGGAAGATACGCATATACGGAACTTAAAAAAAATTTTTAAATTTTATTTGAGTCCAACAACTCTTGATTTTTAGGTAAGCCTGCGCCGTCACCTTCGACTACGACTAGTAAAACTAAGCCTCAAAGACCGACGAATAGAATTGAACATAGTCCAAATGAACCTAAGGAGCCGAGGTCACCGCAACCCATCGTTCCAATCGTCTCTTATGCTGGGCATGATCGACTGCCAGACATACATCTTTACAATGTCAAATCCCTCAAAATCAACAAAACCGACGAAATACCTTTTCTCACTCTCATGCCAGAGGTGACATCACCAGAGCCAGGCGAACAGCCGACAAATGTCACAAATTCCAATGCGACTACTACTCCCATAGCCTCAGGCTCTTCGCAATCAGAGCCTCCTAAAAAGGTCATGACAAACAACTTGTCGCTTACAAGTTTGGCTAAAGTATTCCGCACTCAATTCCCAGCATCTGAAGAACCGGTAGATGTTCGCCGAGCACCAGAAAAGCCGAATCCATTCAAGAGACAAGCTGACCCATCTTCAGTGGAGAACAAAACTCGAGAAGAAATTATCTATGATCTTGCAGAAGAGAAGCAACCTGATAAATCGGAGAAGCCCGAAGAGTCAAAGAAGGAACTGAGCGCTATACAAGAGCCTATCAAACCAGCACCGAACCCAGTTCGATCTATCGTTGTTGATCCTATTAGGCCTGTAAATGCTTAGAGGTTAATCCGTATTGTTCGTGTCACTTCTGTTCTTTCATTATAATTTCCTGTGATAAACTGTTTTCTTGGTGTGTTTCTTTTCGTATTCCTTTTTGTTCTCACTAGTAGGCCGTGCATATCGTTGATTTCATTAAGAAGTTTGCTTGACTACCAAAAAAGCCTCCCTCAACAAAGAAGGAGGTTACTTTCAGAGAGTATTGCACGTAATCACAACATTTCTGGTATTTACAAAGCTGCTATTAACCAGCTTCTTGAGAAATTCCCAAGTCTGATGCCGAAAAAATCATATCTTATTTTTTAATCGTAAATGCATATTTATGAAACACGGTAATCTCTCCCCTCTCATTTCTGCTCCTTCCTTACCTCCTGCATTATGGCCAATGCTGACTGATAATACAATACCGAAATCTCTTGAAGAGATTACACCCTCAAAAGTACGTGATAGGTTACCGCAACCTATACCGACAAGAACAAGAGCACGCCAGTGGCGGTCCCAGGATTTCCGTCCGGGGGGGGGGGCGGAAAAATTTTTTTTCGAAAGAAGGTGCATGGCGTCAGCCACGCACTAAGAAAAAATTTTAGGGGTGCTTTTCAAAATTTTTGCTGGCCCCCAACCCCTAGAATCTGGAAAAAGAGGGCGTGGCGTCAGAGGCTAATTTGAATTTTTAAAGAATTTTGAAAATTATTTTGATTATTTACAAGAATAAACAAGTCACTTGCACATTTTTATAACCTCAGACTCCGCGCGGGATTTTGTATTGGATAACCCAAATACCCGCCGTATTCTACAGAATGCGAAAAGACTAAAGAAATGAAACAAAATAAGGAAAATCATCAAGTTATTTTTAGGCCGTGCAATTTTAAGGAAGCTGCAGTTTCTACAAGATGTGAAGCTATTATTGACATGGAAAAGGATAAAGGATTCGGCGTCTTCAATAGCCTTTGCGATTTTGCTACATAGTCGAATGGGCTACTGAATGCGTGAGAGTCTTTTACAGTGACTTGCGGCCAGACGAATACCAAGTCAGTGCTTTTATCCTGCCAGATTACCCTGAGAGTAGTCGGCTTATTTGGCCCAGAGGGGATCGAACATGAGCCCGATTTGATCATAGCGGCCCCTCATACCACTACGCCATTCGTCTCCACTAACATTAGTAACAACATCATTTGTTTTCCGCAATCAGTATTATTTGTTTCTTGCTCGGTTTCGATACACAGACAGTCAATTCGCAATGCTAGTGGCATGCGCCCGGGACCCCTACTGACCATATGTAATCTCCCGATTAATTCGAAAGGGATAGTACAGAAACTTTTAGTGTACAAACTTTGGTCTGCTGCTTTCGGAATATCACCAAAATCAGAAGAGATAAAACCAAAATGAAGATAGGTGTTTACGTGGTTGGTCGATGTTATCAAGGGACTATCCATATTGGGATGTCCTATTTTTGGTTCACTACCAACACTGACTGGCCTTCCCTAGTTTACTGACATATGGTTAATGAAAGGCCCAAAAGTGAGCGTACATCTCACTCACATTCTGAGTTTGCCAAAGAATCCACAATACCTTCCAATTTCAGATCCTGACAAACTGAATGATCCGGAAGCAATCGTAAATAGATATGATCTCAGAGATCGCAAACGTCACACTCTTAATTCAAAACCAACAGATTTAAATACCGCACAGAAAGACTCGAAATCTACCGTATCAGCAGATTACACCACTGCAAGGGACCTACAGAGCCCAGCTGCAAAGACAGCGAAGAAAAAACTGAATTCAGAATCGCCTCGAACAGCAAGAGCCCAGTCTGAAGGAGCAAATAGTCGAAAGACAGATGAAGCCTCTGAATCTAACGAATTTAGCCTAAGCAGCATGTTTCCGTCGATTTTTGGTAGTAGCGCCCCAGCGGTGCTCTCAGGACCGGCTCGAAATACCCGCTCCGCTTCCCAGTTGTCGCAGTCATTTCGAGTTCCAGAGATTCCAAGAAAGCCAACAAATCCAAGAAAAGATGTTATCAAATTTCGTTCTGACTATGCAAATAAGTTCGCTATAGGCAGTAAGCACACAGTGAATTTCTTTAGCGGATCATATGAGGATGTGAGTCTGCTCCAGTCAAGCTTCATTGATTCTCTAACCTTTTCAGGCACAACGAAAAGCTAGAAATGATGTTAAACTGCTCGTTATCTTTATCCATGACCCAAATGATGCGGTAAGTGCGGTCATATGCCTTCATTGTCCTTACACATTGAAACTTACCGCCAGCACTGATATCACGAGAACTGTAAACAATCACTCATTTTTGAAGCTCTTCCCTATAAAATCGGTGATTCTGGGAAATGTAACTTTTTTGAGGAAGAGCAAATGAGAATTTGAGTCAAGTACGAATAGTATAATTCGGTCCTGATAGTGGCTATAAGGACAACAATAGGGGGTACATCCCTGAGCAAAAATTTTCTTAATTTTTGTGGGAAAATATTAGTGGATCCCTTGAATTTGGTGTGACACTGCCTTCATAATTTAATAATTTTTGACAGGCAGTCTCCTATGCAATTCACTTTCTCCTTTCTTCCCAATATGCACACTTCAATGCGTATAAGTTTAGGATTCCATAAAACTGATACATGAATCGCTCAATTCAAGTGAATTTGACAAGCTTGTCACTAACAATAAACTGATTGTCTGGGGAGTCGCTAACGATTCCGAGGAAGGAAAATACGGTCCAGTGTTCTCTACATAAAACAAAGTTTTGAGTTTGAGAGCAATCAAGTTAGTTCAGTGGCCTACACTTTGCATGTGTTCAAATTTCCATTCATAAGCCTAATGTGTCCAAGAGCTGATAATCGCATGTTTTCGGTAAGGCTTTTGATTTACTGTTTTCTTTTTCTTTGCTTATTGAGTCATCTTAGGTCCGAAGGATCTCCGGTTTCGCAAGTGCAGCCGAACTGGTGGAAAGGCTTGAAAGCTCCATACAAATAACCAAAGATGACCTCAAGGAATTGCGGGAGCAAAAGTGACTTAGCTCGAGTTATTAGGTTGTCAAGAAAATAATGTCCGTTTTTATTTGCTTGCTTTAACAAAGCAACCAGACTCAACCCAACAAAGAGTAAGGGGTACTGTTCGATAGAGCAAAGCAAGCTCTACAAGATGGCGCTCATATCTTTGCGCCATGCTCGATCCACGGAGAGTTCGAACTCAAAATCTAAAGATTTCCAAAGGCCCAAAAAATCAAAAAAAATCAGATCTTCGTCCAAATAATTTCTACGGACCTCCCACTCGCTCACATCAATACTATCGATATCTAATATCCATATGTGCGATTGCCGTATTTTTTCCTTGACTAGAAACTGAGAAAACGAAAATTTCCCTGATTTTCTCAAAGCAATGCTGAGCCGTTTTTGCATATGTAGTTCTATACTACAAGCCTAGGTAAGCATAACTGTAGGTTTTCAGCCTATTTCGAGCAGTACTTTTCGAGAAATATCGATTTTAGCACTGAAACTGAAACGAAAAATCCGAATTCGTTATTTTTCGAAAACTACCGCTTGGAATGGGCTGAAAATCTACAGTTATACTTATCTAGGCTTGTAGTATAGGACTACATATGCAAAAACGGCTCAGCATTGCTTCGAGAAAAACAGGGAAATTTTCGTTTTCTCAGTTTCTAGTCAAGGAAAAAATACGGCAATTGCACATATGGATATCAGATATCGATAGTATTAATATGAGCGAGTGGGAGGTCCGTAGAAATTATTTGGACGAAGATCTCATTTTTTTCGACTTTTTGGGGATTTGGAAATCTTTAGATTTTGAGTTCGAACTCTCCGTGGATCGAGCATGGCGCAAAGGCATGAGTGCCATCTTGTAGAGCTTGCTTTGCTCTATCGAACAGTACCCCTTACTCTTTGTTGGGTTGAGTCTGGTTGCTTTGTTAAAGCAAGCAAATAAAAACGGACATTATTTTCTTGACAACCTAATAGATTACCTGAATAACGGAATAAATTCAGGAAGAGAGTTTTGAAGGATCGCCTAATAAGAGAGGAACAAGAACGGGAGTACAAGGAAAGTGCAGAACGAGACAAGCAAAAAATACTGCAAGCAAAGAAAGCACGAGAAGAGAAGCAGGAAGCAGAGGAAGAAGAACAACGGAAGCAGAAAGATACCGAGGAGAGGAGAAAGGTTGTGTTTTTTCATTTTTATCATTATACTAACTACCGATTTGAAAATTTCTAAAAAGGGCACCTGTTTTCAGTTGATAGCTGCTCAACGTGAACAGCTGAGACAGCATCACATCGCAGCTCCTCTCAAAGGAGAAACAGTCAACATACAAGTTCGATTTCCTTCTGGGGAAAGATTTGCTAGGAAGTTTGCGCTTGATGATAGTTTGGAGGTAATCCCTTCAGCGATCCAAGCTTCAATTAATTTTGCACAATTCTCTTCACCAAAAATATCTCTATCCATGTAACTATCCATCTGAAACCAAACGTCAACACAACTTGTAAATGCATGAAAATTTCGTCAAAATTCTTCGAAAATAAACTATGCAAACCTTTTTAGAACTTGAGCTGATAATGCAAAACGCCCGAAATTTCAGAGACTGTTGCTTATTCCTATAATTTTATGCAAATGAATGCAAGTTAGTAATAAGTAATGATATCAGCCATCTATTTAGAAAATTAATGTTTCAAAACTGCTTGTCTTTTATAATGGTTCATAATGAACTAACAATCGAAAAATGCAATGAATTAATGGTTTTGATGAAAAATTAGTTTTTTCGAACCCCTCACTAGACCAGTCTTTTTCAGGAACTATTCCTCGCAATACTGTGCCACGAAACATGCCCCGACTTTTTCATGGTGCTTTCTGGATATCCACGCTCACAAGTCCCTTGCGCTCCAGAATGGTATTATATTCTATCTCATTTGCCAGCATGCTTAGCTTTCTTACCTTAGGTATCACTTGTTACTCGCGGAACAGCTCTCGGCAGACGGAGTGCCTCCACCAAAGTTCACACCAGTCTCATCGTTTCGAAACGCCGGAATGAGAAAAGCAGTTGCAGTTTTTGTAAAGAGCTGCTGATGCTGACAGAATTCAATTCAATTAAATGATGGGAAAGTTAATACTGATAAAAGGAAAAATAAATGATTTTATCCCCCATCGAAATCACGACAAAGAGCCATTAATCATGATCTGTCATGACTTACATAACCAAGAACTAAACTGATTCAAGTGAGAGGTTAGCCAAGCACTCGAAACGTCAAACGGAAACTAGTAGATGACATTGTTGTCTTATTTGCTTACTTAGACTGATCGAGTGATGGATGAGATTACATAGGATCATTTCAAGAGCGATTAGCACATGTGCGGATAGGTTAGGTTACCTGGTTACTACCTGGGTAAACTCCTTGATGCAAAGAAGCTACAAACATTTATGAAATAATGTACAAATAAGTTTGAAAATTACGCTGACAGTAACTGTAAAAAAATCAGAGTAATTCGAAAACAAAACTTCAACATAGTGACACGCTTTTTTCTCCCAACCATAAAAAATTTCCCCAAGAGCTTTCCAACAAAGTCCCCAAGCAAAAATCTTATTTGCCCAGATATATAAGACTTTCGTCACCACTATACTGTCAAAAATGCTGAAACAATAGAACAAATGAGACCGCAGGTATAGTGACAATGCATTTTCCCCTTTGGGAGAAAAGGATATCCGGCGGGAAAGCCAATACGTTCCGACAAGGCATTGACCCCTGGTCAAGGTGATGTGAGAATAATCCAATGCTCTTTATAGAAATGGCATATGCATAGTGAGAAAAGAAAGAAATATAGAGAAAGAAATTGAAAATGATGAGAAAGTTAAAAGAAATTAAAAGTTGTTAATCAGCATATTTTGAAATTTCGTAAGCAAGATATCCTTTGCTTAATTAAAGTCCAAGAAATCTATAAATATATAAATCAAAATTCAATTTCGTAAATCTCATAGCTTTGCTCACAAAAACTATAGTTTTCTGCGAACAGCTCTCCCAAATGATAGAAATCACCAAAATGTGATGAAAAACCATTCTAGTACTTTCAAATATAATTGGTAGCCACAATGAAACGATTGTATTACTAAACAGTCGAATAGTAACAGATTTTATTACTATTTACAATTATTAAGACAACAACAACGATTTATATCTTAACCAAAAGGTCTTGTTAGATAGCCAAGTTTGGCACCAGCTGGCTCCAGTCCACCGTAAAATGAGGCGCCGAGTGTGTAGACGGGCTCGTCCCCTTCGGATGAGTCAGGTAAAACGTGGAGATAGGAGCCCATTCCCTATAAAGGAAATGTAATGGAAATATTATGAATACTGATTCTTTTGAACAAAAAAGGGTAAGAAGATCACAACGTGCAGATTTCTTGATTAATCTAGATAGAAAAGCTTCTCACATTGCTACGAAGAAAATTAACAAATATGTAATTTTTGACGTGAAATGTTGTGTTCAAATATAAGAATACAAACTGATTACATAACAGTTATTATACGAACAATAACAGACGCGGGAGGGGAAGGGAAAAATTTGTCAACAGAAAATCGATATACAGGGTGTCCCAAAAAAATGTATCGAACGTTTGATCGTTAATATCTCTCTTCCCAAGAAGTCTTTTGCCTTGCTTCATGTACCGTTTTATAGAGTTGGCTTTAAGTTAGATTTTCAGCGAAGAACGAATCACTCATTTCTCTTCATTACTGTAGGATTACGGTAGAAACTTCAAAGAGGGTTTTAAGCAATGAAAGGCCATATTTTGCTCAGAAAGGAAACAAAACAGCCTGAAAACTTTTACACTAGGCTAATTAGAGTTGCTGATTTTAACTGTAAAGTTCCCAACTTATTATGATGCTTCATTGAAGAGTTATGCCGGGTGAAAGGTAGCGGCCATTTTTCAATGTTCCTAAAAAGTGCGGTTACACCCTTTAGAAAGCTTCGTAATCTTGTGAATAGTTGAGTATTGAACTCAGCGTCCATAAAAACCCCAATACACAGGTTTTCACATTTTTTTGAAAAATTTCGAAACGGCAGCTTTTTTCCTCATTGACACCATATGTTTCAAGTGTTCACCCTAATACAGTAATGAAGAGAGATGGGTGATTCGTTCTATGATGCAAATCTAAGTTGAAGCCAGCTCTACAAAACAGTACCTGAAGCAAAGCAAGACTTCTTGGGAAGAGAGATATCAACGATCAAACGTTCGATACATTTTTTTTGGGACACCCTGTATTTATTTATCATTTCTCCTTCGTCCAAAATGAATGAATAAATAGCATTTTTAAATTGTCAAAGCAACACTAATATGGGGCAAATTTTTTAGCAAAAAAAGATTTTTGTTTTTGGGAGTGAATCTTAGAATTTTTGCATACTATAATATGGGTAAATCCGACATTTAGCGAGTCATACAGATTTACCAAAGTGGAAGAAAACATAATATGCCTGAGAAAGACGTTCTGTCGATTAAATAATACTCATAAAAATTGATTTTTCCGATGCACAGCACCCATTCTTTTGGAAAATTAGAAAAAAATTTTAACTTCATTTGCGCACTAAGACAGAATACAGACTATTCGAAAAGTTTATCATGATAAAATTTTCAAGGAGAAATGTACCTGTTTGTTTCCATTTGCTGACATATCGACTACCGAATAGTAAGGTCGCAAAATCCCAAGCAGTTCAGAATCTCCACCTCCTACGAGATTGCCAACCTGAAATACTCTGTTCACATCCTCTATCTGTTCCCTACCCATATGAGAATCTTGTGGACCCAAATCCTCCACCAATGGTTTTCTTTGCTTCTGGGAAAGTCACATGTCGGTACGGTCAAAGCTCTACAGAGTGCGCATATTTGCACAGAAGATGCTCTTCCCCAGAAAACCTCTGTAGCTGCCCGAAGAAAGCTCGCCCGAATGTGCGGGTTACTTGCGCACAAACAAACAGACAACGATATTAGCCCGGATATCGTCGATCGAGACTAAGTACACTCGCTTCACTACTGTAATGCATACCAATGTCGGCTACTTTATGGGGTCACTAAGTCGGTCCAACGCGGATAAAGACAGATAAGTGGTTGCATAGCGCCGAGCACAAGTACCTCATCCAAGTCCTTCATGCCTTGTTCACTGAAGCCATAGTTGTTGTCTTTGGAGACGTCAGCTTCATCGCCTTTGTCTGAAGATTTTGGGACGATTTATTAGTGAAAAACTATTCGGCGCGAAAAATTTACCTGCGTTCAATTTTTTGTACTCCCGAGGCACAAAACGTTCCATCCATTGTGAATCTACCATCTTCATAACGTCACCCATAGCATGGTTTACTGCAATAAAATCACAACCTTTGGGCACATGAAAGTTTCAAAAAATTCTGAACATGCTTCAAAAATGGCTTCCAGAATCGTTTCCAGCTTACATGTTTTAGCGTTTCTATTCTTTTTTCTTGTGGATGATTAATACTTTTATAAATTTGAAATGTGAGTAGCGTGGAAGCTTTGATTTTTGTTTTCATACACTGGCGACAAAAAAGGTAGCAGTGGGCGCAAATATTTCTCAGGTGGAAAGACGGTGGAAAATTTTCCAATTTGTGAAGCGATGTGGTGTAAATGTGTTGGTGTAACGTTCTCTGAATTCGAAAACATACAAAGTTTTTGCATTCAACCCTAAAATTCCAAAAAAAGAAGCAGTGCGCAGCAATGCCTGCATTGAAATTCTTTGATATTGCCGATACAATTTACATATTGAATGGAATGATGTTGTTCTTAGTGAAGGAAGCCAAGGAAAATTAACCCTTTCTTAGGGAGGGTGGGAATTTGTCCATCTACTTTTTTAATTAATGATAAATTCCAACTGAATGAAGTTTAATGTCATGTTTTGATGGTATTGCTTAATTACATGATGTTCTAACTCAAAGACTTTGAATGAAAAGTAGGCTCTTTCAGGCAAATGTTAGAATGAAGAGCTTGTGTGAACAGGGCTCGGCACGAGCTGGCACCATGGAAATTTTCAAAACAAAGTCTTGTTTGATCTTGAAAATTTCGTACGAAGTCCCCTTTGACCTGTTTTGAAGACCCAATATTATTTTTAGATTATGAAAAGTATGTAGTAGGGTTTTTCTTCATGCTGATTTCATGGAACAACTTTTCACAGCTTTCTGACCTTTATAAGTGGTTGAATCACATTCCGAGAAGCAGAAAAAGCCGATTTTTCGACTGCGGAGCACACCGAGCAATTTTCAGATGGCTATAAAACGTTGAAAAGAAAATACAGTGTAGATACATTTTATGTAAAAAAGTATGAAAACTTATGTGGGCAAAGTGTCGGTGCCGGTTCAGCTGGCACCCAGCTGGCACGGTGCCAGCTAATTCAGAAAAAAGTTCAGCACGGCTTTCATTCACATAAGTTTCCATAAATTTTTGGGCCATAGTTCGGTCCCCCAACGCGCATGCACACACCAAATTTGGTGTCATACTATTGCGTTTTTGTTGAAAACAACGCCTATCGTCAGTTAGAAAGGTATAAGTTTAATTCAGGTTATGATTGTGTGCAAAACAAGAAGTAGTATCACTTATGGAGTGAAAATTTCATCACTTACGCATTGATTTGTATTTTAAGAAATTTTCTAGCAAAAGTAGCCTGATTTTTACAATTTAAACCAACTCTACGGAAAAGAGACAAAAGCCTCATTATAGATGCTCTTGAAATCTTGCTAATAAATTAAACTTACCCAAAACAAGAGATATAAATAGACGCGACAGCAGCAAGGACATCGTCGTTTCCTTTCTCGCTAGTAAGATCCGGTTATCCCTACACTTGACAACTTGAAGTGTTTGATGAGGAAAAAGAGTTAAGGATTGTAGTACGGAGATTTTTCGTTTCTACTCTGCAACGTACAGAGATGGAGAGCAGGAAGACAGCGCGAAGTGTTACAGAAGAAGAAAAATTGAGAGCGAACAGTGAGAATTCGAGTGCAGAACAGCGCCGATTGACGGTAGTGACGAGGTCGACCCAGTGACCGACCCGATTTCGGTTTTATCAAATGCGTGATGTTCGGGATCGCTCGGAACTATGAACAGGATAGTACAGAATTTATAAGCCTCATCCTAAAGATGGTATGACTTCCGAAAAACTTATGCTTATGTAGCCATTTAACCGAAGGGGATATCCTGCATTTCCTCTCAACATTACAAATCAAAGAAACTTCTATCAGAACTCATACACCTAATTACCGGGGCGGTCATATTTCCGCTCTATGAAGAGTTTTGGAGAAAAGAAGCTTGGCTAGCTATGCCTCTGAAAATTTTTTGCAAGATAATTTGAATTGTACAAAATTTTTGAAGATTATTTTATTATTTAAAAGTATAAACACTTCTTCTCTCGCATATTTAAGTCATGTAGTTAACTTTCAACAATTTTGCGACCGCGGGCGAGGGGGTGCCCCTTCCCTGCTACCCCCTCGCCCGCCACTGTTAGTTATCTATGAAAAAAGGATATTGATAAGCTATCATGGAAAAACAAAAGAGAACACAGCCATTCCAAAGAAGCTGAGCTGTATATCATCGAACTCGCCTTGAAATGCTAATTTCAAATATATGCTTACTATCTGCCGAACGACCATCTAGGAGTTAAAAACGTTCAAATATGAGAAATTATTAGGTTGATGCAAAAGTTCTTTCGCACCAAATTCAAAAATTTATAACTTGTTGACTTCTCAACGAATCTGCAAGATCTAAATTTTGTATAAGAGAGAATCTCATGCTCTGTACAACAATGCTTGAACGTTTCGTTAATGTGTACGTACAAATGAAGGAGATAGAAGCTCAAAACCAAAGTCACTCAAAATTTGGATTTTTCGTGTAGGGTCATGAAAAATCGGAAACTTGCAACAAAAATCGGAGCAGTCAGTATTATAGGTTCTTTCACAAGCTCTTTCCAACAGTGCAAAGTTTGCGCCAATTGAGCGTTTCTATGAAAGTTATGAATTTCCTGAAAATGCCAAAATAAATCAAATTCGCCCTTTTGTATTGCTTATCATAAATTTTTATAGAGACGCTCGATCAGCGCAAACTTTGCACTGTTAGAAAGAGCTTGCGAAAGAAGCTACAATGCTGACTGCTCCGATTTTTGTTGCAATTCTCCGATTTTTTATAACCCTACACGAAAAACCCAAATTTTGAGTGATTTTGGTTTTGAGCTTCTATCTCCTTCATTTGTACACATTAACGAAACGTTCAAACATTGCACAGAGCATGAGTTTCTCTCTTATACAAAATTTAGATCTTGCAGATTCGTTGAGAAGTAAACAAGTTATAAATTTTTGAATTTGGTGAGAAAGAACTTTTGCATCAACCTAATATTTGAGTTCCAACGAATGTAGTTCGCTGAAAAGCAAGCTGATAGCGCGGATCTACAGTGGCTACTCTAATTACGAGGAAGAAGCACATCAAAAAACCAAATAAGTGTTTCGAAACGTATTTCATGTAACATGCGGCGCAGAACACTTGACAAGTCGCACTTTTAACCGTTCATAACTTCTTCCAGATGGTCATTTGGCAGATAATAAACATACATTCGAGAATTTGTACGGGAGTAACGCTTCACGGATATTGAAGCTACACTGCGATCAGCGTTTTAAGTTTTATCCGTAGACATCACCTTCCAAAACACCACTTCGACCAAGCGAACTTCCCTTGTTAGAGGCATAAACTTACGATTCTACAAATGCTCCGTATCCCTCACTTTCACATGTTAGACTCTACTGCTGATGAATTTACCAATGACACATTCCTCTGATGCGCACGTATAGCGAGGGAAAAACAGTGCTTATGGTTTTTTACGCCATGGTACCTCATCTGGTTGCGCTTGTTTTGGCGAAACAACGAGTCTAATAAGAAAGGCTAGCAAACTTGCGAAGTTTGGCATAGCCGAAGCTAAACAGGAACTGTAATCAGCTACCGTAACAGGATTAGGAAGCGGAAGAAGTAGTAGCGTACCTCTAACAAGTCTCGGCTAAAATTAGAAAATTAATTATCATTTTGAACACGCCATCAAAACTGACAGTTAATGTTTGAAACAGCAGCTAATTGAGCTTACTTCCAGATACTAAAGTCTGTAAGGGATACATCTACACAAGAAACACGGATTTTACTTTTCAACAGATTAGAAATTGACTTTGTTTTCCAACCCTACTGCCAAACTGCTTACTCTATAGTTCTCTTTTCCCAACTTCTTTGAATGCAGAACATTTCATCGAACATCTTCATCGAATATTACTACGTCGGCTTCTACCCCCAAGCATGCTACCTCGTTGCTTCTTTTCAGTAAAGAAGCTTATAACTCGTTTATTGAAACCTACAACAAACTTGATGTCAGCGTTTTGTATGTCCGTTACCGATTCAGTGATTGAAAGCCAAGTAAAACAGCTTTTGGCAGTTGAGAATGTAACAATAAGCGAGGGAAAAGTGGAATAGGTCAAGTGCTAGCTCTAGCTCAGAACAATCCAATAAATAACTACCCGTGTTAGTTGTAAATTTTCCTGAGAAAACTAACAAGATCTTGTATACTTATTTTCAAAACAGTCATGGTGTGCGATAATGTTTCTGCAAATCCCCTTTTGATTCGTGTCGATACCCAACTCAAAAAGCACACGAATGAACATGGAAAGAAAAACTATTTCACCTCGGAGTTTTGGGAAAGAAAAACTATTTCACCTCGGAGTTTTGACAAACAAAACTATTTTTCAGGATTTATCCGATATCTAAAGAACTATACCGCTCCATCATGCGTGTATTGTATTTTAGGATACTGATAAATCCAGATTATTGGAAAAAGCAACTATTTTTTGGAAGCAGTAAGAGTAACCTAAACATAATTAAGAAACAGATGAGAATGTCAAAATAGCTTTAAATATTCAGGATGCCAAGGTCGCGTTAAGTATTCAACTTATCGTTAGCAGACTTTGGCTAATGAACTGCGAGATTAATGTCTTGGAAAACATGGTCTGTCCGACTGTTTCAATAAAGAAGTGTAACTACGTGGTCTTCGTTCGAATAAGCGCATTTCCCAAGTTTTCGAAAGCTTATTGAATTTAAGTTGTATGACGCCGATTGTCCAACTATTTCTTAGTTTTGTCTGCCAAGTTTTTTCCTTGAGTTTTGTATGGTCACTTGGTTTGTGGTCAAAAATCGACACGATATTAGCTCATACTAGAGCTAATCGAAGTCGTTGCTAGCATTCCTTGGTTGCGCAAATCTCTATAATAAGCCGGTCAATTTCCCTCACACGGACAAAATTGCTTGGCTAGATTTGTGACTCGTGGCTAGCTTTGGATCCATGAGACCAGGAAAAAATAATTTTCAGGTTACGGTATGAGAGTCACATCACACCTCGTCTAAACCCCATTAACTACATGTCGAGTAGCGATACCGACACAATAGGTGTCACCCATGAGAATGCCCCCGGTATAAGCGTCACCTATGCGGATTTCCGGGGCTAGAAAAAGGTGCCGCGGCTGCCGCGGGCAGAAGAGCTGAGCTCACATGCTTTTGTTGCCTTATTAGTACAGTGCGATCATCCGCAACTAAGTAATCGTGAGATAAAAGCCCACATACCGCCTTACCGCGCAGCGCCTGTACGAGAGCCGGCCGGCAGCGCGCCGGCGGAGGCGTGATTCGCGCGCGACCGGACCCAACCGGCGACGACGAATTCGCGCACTCTACAGACTACTTCATGTCGATTAGACAGTAGTGGCTGTTCGTCATCATATATCGCCGTTCGCTTATTGGCCTCCTCTTGAAGTGCTCTTGTCAAAATCCTTTTCTAGGACCTTTCACTTAGCATCAAAGTGTCCCATTTGTTTATAGCAAGGAAACTATTACGCAAAATAATGACTTAAAGGCTATAATAAAGTGCTTGTAAGAGGAAAAAACGTGTTAAGGTTGCCTTCGTTAATATTGATTACCCTGAGGATAGTTTCAACGAAATTTTGCACAGCTACGAATCAAAATGGGAAACCCATTTTTTAGTTTTTCATCACCTGATTCTAAATTGTAAGTGACCTTATGATTTCTTGTATGATTGTACCTTAAACTTTGCAAAAAACCAAAAATCATCAAGAACCTTTCTACCATGAAATCATCCAAAATTAGATACCAAGTAAACTAACGAATTCTTATCTGTATGCATTTTTTTTTTGTATTTTGTCACAGACCAGAAATCATCAAAGCCACCTTATTCTCCATAAATTTACCTACAAATTAAATACCAAATAGCCTGATAGATTCTTAAAAATCTGTTTTTTTTGGATTCTGAAGTACAGACTACTATACCGAGTGGTACCGTACTCACCGGATGGTACTCATACTACTATATTAACATACCGGGTGATACCGTACTCATTTTTATTACCGTCAAACCCTTAAAATTTTATTATCCCTATCTGCACATCAAGACAAATTTTTCTGAGGTGTACGGTAATTGCTCTTTTCTTGTTTATGATAAACATAACAGAAAACATTGTCAAATCCATGACTTCCTTCAAAAATGGTAAATTCCCCTCCTACTCCCACCCCTCACTCGCTTTCATATTTGCCTGAATAACACAAGGATATTTTTCGCTCATAAGTCTATGTAATTTACTGGCAATTGAATAATTATCATTTGTTGTTGGTATTCCAAGCCATTCTTACCAAAATTGGCCGCTTTGAATTCCGCCATCAAATCCGTTTCATGGACGTTCATTGCATCAGACTCACAAATTTCTCGTTGCTCTAAGCTTGTATATTTCAAATGTGAGTGGGGTTCTTCCCTTCCCTTCCCCCCCCCCTCCCCCTATCCCACTGACAGGAACTCAAACTTTCCTGGATAAGGTATAGAATTACCTTAAAAACCGTATTTCGATACATAGCAAGCAGCAATCAATGGCGCATTGAGAGCTAGCTCCATACGCGCAATACACACCGGTTTGTTACGCTAAATACTTACTGTGTACACAGTGTCTTGCATCGCTTATATGGGAAATACTAGCTACTTCTGGGATTCATGGGCTTGGATTCGACTTGCGGAAATTTGAAAACTTCTGGCATTTCTGGAAAAAACAGCATCTCTCTGTTCAAATTCGCGATTGTGGGCAAGAGGTGGACTATATCTTGATTCAATTCTTGGTTCTCTGATTCTTTTACTGTAGAAATACTATGACCCAGGATCAATTTATTCTAAGACGATTCATTTCCTTTTAATAAATCTTGCTGGAAGAGGTTTGGTTTTCTAGGAAATTCAGCGTTTTCTAGAAATCCCGTCGCAATTTCAAAATTAGAAATGGATATGCATAAAAACGTGGAGAATCTAAAAAACAAGGAAAATCATTTTAAAGAGCTATGAATTATTGATTTGTAATTAATTTGGGTGCTTGTTTCACACAGTTTGGAGGAAAGTCTGTAGATATGATGTCATTCAAATCACTACCTTTTTACCCCCCCCCCCCCCTCCTAATATCCAAAAGTACTAGGAAGTGATAGTGAGCTGCTCGAATGACCACCACCTACAATGACAGAGAGTTGATTGGCCTCCAACATTTCACCGCACACTCTCTTCAAGTCCCCTCTTGACTTTGTTGTCCAGAAAATAGCAAGTGTCACTTCCATCCTCTTGAGTAGACAGCAATCATTTGTAGAAAAAACTTAGAGTCGTGTAAGGATCCGACCGTTAACTTCGGACCCAACTTTTGCAAGAAAGATCGTACGTAAACGGCCTTTGTCTTTTTTCAAACGAAAAAATTCGAATATTAGACTCACCTTCACAGCAAAGCTATGAATATTAGGTTTTCAAATGAATACTTCTTGTAATTAACAAATTTTCTACTATTTTAACATTCTTTTCCCACAGCTTTATACTTATTCAGTAAATGATTGTTGCAAAACAGTTTGAATGCTTTGTTTCGACGTAGAATTCACAGTTGATATCTAAAAAAGCTGTTTGCTGAGGAGAAAGGAACCCGTGTTTATATAGAATTTTGATTTTGTTTGGAAATTAGATCCAAACATTAATTTTGCTTCACAAAGTTGAAGCAACATTCATAGCACTTTCAACTACATTTATAAATGACAGCCAATCACTTTTCCAAGGTCTGAAAATCCCGCTAATCTCAAGAATTTTCCTGTCCCCAATTAGCCCCAATTTTCCAAGTCGGGAAGCGATTTTTGCACACGCTCTCGTTTACCCACTCAAAGCTTTTCACTCGTCTATGTGAACCAGCAATTTTGAGGCCAAAATAGCTACCCTAACCCTAAGATATGAAAATAACCTATTATTGCGGCTGCTATTAGTGGATTCACCTTCGATTTGTCGAAAATTTGTGAGGAATTGACGTCCTTGGCGGTGTTCGGCCACGGCGGCCGGGCAGCCGACGCGAATCGACCAATAGTGCATGACTGGCGCGTTGTTTTTCTGATAGTGAGATTACGGTAGGTAGTGTTGGCAGCGAGCCAAGTGCTGGTAAATGATGGTTTTGTTTAGTCAGAAGACTGTTTTCTTACTGTTAGGAGTGAAACAGGTAAATAGAGCCTTTAGATTGTATTTTTGCTCCCATCCCCCCCCTGTCTTCCAATTGACCTGGGTTAGAAGGGCATGGAATGGGAATATAATAATGTGAAATAAGCCTAGAGCCAAGCTAACCTCCAAAATTGGGCACTGTGCCTTCTTAGCGCTGTCGCCTATCCAGATGCGCTACGAAGCAGGATTTCCACTAGCCAATTCAGGCAATCGTGGACCTGTTCTTAGCCCGTGCGCTAGCAGAACCCCGGCTTACCGCGTCCAACTTGATCCGTCCAGTAGCACCTTCACTTCCTCCCCTTTGGGGACGTCTAACTTACTCCAGTCCTTCCCGAAACTTTCTCTGACCACCACCCCGAGCTGACCATTGACGTTCGAGCACATGGGCGGGCCCCCGTCCAGCACAGCACCGTCGCCGGCCCGCCCCCCGCCCTCCACCTCCTTCGCGATGCGGCGTCGACGCCGCCACCTCTTACCATCCACTCATATAAGAGGCAAATGAGCACTGACGCCTATCCTTAAGTGTCGTATGGCTAGTTGAGTTCTACTTTCGCCTCCTCTCACTTCGCTCTCTTCGCCCCTCTTCTGAAAAGCACCTTGAGATGGCCTGAGTACCGCTTGACACTGTGTGCGGCTGGCTGGCTGCCTCGCCGCCCCAGCGAACTGAGTCTGGTGCCATCGGTTGCACAGTCAGCCGTAGGTGTCACCACCTAAGGCTACTGTCATCAACTCGTCACGACATGACTGTCAGCGGCAACACTATGTCAGCCACTCATGTCATCACAAGGTGGTACCATCTCTCGTCCAGTCTTTACATTCTGTAACATCTTATGCCCAAACGTGGATGTCGATTCTGTAGGTGCCAGGATGACAGCGAATGCTACGCCAGGAGTTGTCACTGCCGACAACACCACAAATGCGTTCAGCTTCCCGTCACAGTCCAGTCAAATGCCATATTTCAATTTTCCTCCTAATTATAATCCAGCCAGCGACTTTTCAAGGTGAGTTTGCATATGGAGTGTGTCGAGTTTGTATTTGCATTTAATTGATTGCTCTGGAAGATTAATGTGCACTGTATCCAAAAATTGGCAAAGCTTTCTCATGCTGTGAATGTCTAATACCTCAAAGAGAGCAGACACGAATTTTATACAGTTTAAATTTTTGACTGTAGCGTGTCATGACTAGTTACTGCATTTTATAAACTTCTTGTTAGCCCCATTTCTCAGCTTATTTTTGGGAAAATAAAATCTATGAACGAACTGTTGGCGATTTCACAGCTCGACACCACTTACCTTTAGCGTTTCTTGCATATCCGAAAGTAAATGGTTTCCTGCTCATAACTTTTCGGAAAGATTCCATGAGCTTATCATTAGATAGTATACTGCTGTCAAGTAAACATTTTTAAATTGGTAATATCTTCATGTAGTTATTATAGCACAAATTCTGGCGATAATAATGTTTTTCTTAAGAAACTATCTTAAAATTTTTTGGTCAGCTCATCAAACTCATATGCTGATGAACAGATGAGTTAAATCCAATCTCTAAGCTTTTTAAGAATTTCAACGATTATATAGTTATATGTCTTAAGACTGTTTACGTTTAGCTAAAATCTTGGCAAAAAACCTGCAGAGTCGCTAATGGGCACCGGTGGTTTTGGAAGATTGTAAAGAATCTTTGAAAAAAAGTGTCTCACGATTTACCACAGGGGAATCGTTTTTTTTGTTTCTTCTTGGTGCTTTGCCTTACTCAGAATGAATTGTAGAAGAATTCTTTCAAAAATCTCGAAAGCTTTCTTGAAACATGAATACGGTGTACATAAATCCATCCTTTATCACGTTGTCTACGAAATTGTAGCTTTTTTATCATTAGCATTCGTTAAACCGGGAAAGCTTTCGAAAACACTCAAAACATGCATTTGCGCTCGATAGCAACTAGAAGAAAAGTAATCATAGAATTTTCACTGTTTTTCTCATAGTTACACTTATGATTCGTTTACCTCACACATTACACATTTCTTTTCAGTTGGGCAAATGCACAGTCGACAGCCGGCTGGTACCAACCCGATCCACGATTTGCAAGTAAGTAAACATTGACAAACTCAGAGCACACGATAGATTACGGTAGTGAGTGAGTGAGACTCGTCTGCGTGTATTGGCTAAACTCGTCTGTTTTGCTTACGTAAGTCGGGTGACAGGGACGGGTAAGGGGGGGGGGGGTATGTAACACGCATACGTACGTACTTCACTTACGTTACAAACACACAAGAGGTTTTTAGAGGGTTTTACGACTTTATAGGCGCTTGTCGCGTTGACTGCGAGCTTGCGCTTGCGTTGCGCGCGCGATGCGCAAATCGTCTGTTTTTCAGCGCTGTGTGAACACACACCACATACACCGAAATCTATGCGGTTATTAGGGGCTAATTGATCGTCGCCCGGCCGTGTACAAGCGGGTGTGGGTTGGGGTAGGGTAGGCGACAAACCGGCCGACGACACACCAATTTACACTCTCAATTTCACACCTATCGAAAAGCGATCAGCGTCCTTTAACTAGGCAGTAATTTTACCTCGCAGTATGTAGTATCCGCATCCTTCTCGCGCATAGGTTCCGGATAATAATTCTTTACCTCTCCCCCCCCCTCCCCATTTCCTCTTTCGTTTTTAAGTTGTTCCGTACCGCACTAACTCACCTGCTACAGTACTCCTACTTTTACCCCCCTCCCCCACCCAGACGACGAGAGAGTATCGTAGGTTAGAGACGCAGACATGGCAAACAGAACAGGTTATGCGTTTCCCATGTGAGTGTTCCCACCTCGTCTCTCTCACACCTCCTTCACACCTTCTTCCCTATCGCTGCGTATAAACACTGACAAGAAAACCTATGGGGAAGAATGCTGAAATGAAAGTGTGGAAGTTTATTTTGGGAAATGAGGAAGAGCGAAGAGGAGAAGGATAAAAATAGAGCACGAAAGGGGAAGAAAGAAGTTGGAGAAAATCTTGAACACTTAGAAATTTCGTCATTTGTAGAAAGCTTTTGATTTGCTCACGCAATTCGATTTCGCTGTTTTTCGCTGTACGAAAATTCAGAGATAGTTCGACGCATCCCTTTCCTTTTTTGACTTGATTTAAGGACCTTCATTTTATAACTTCATGATTTCCATAGCTCTAGATTCACTAAAAGTTTACGGTTCAAAAAAATTAGTGATCGAGCAATTTCTAGGGGAAAATCGCCTTCAAAACTCCAAGGCAGTACAGCGAGAAGCGTACGTACATTTTTGAAAAATGGATTTTTTTTGTTATTCCCTCCCCCAATTATTCATTAACTTCATAATCTTTGGGATTTTGATTGCTCCATGAAGCCTTCCAATTTTTCGAGGACTCGATTTTAGTTTTGGAAAATACTTCGTTATTGGCACCTTAGTTTAGGGTACCATTTTTTGCCTTCAAAGCTTATGATTACTCAAGTTTCTAGCGGTCACTTAGTGTAAAAAACGTATCATGATTAGCTTTGGAAGATTCACGAAAAATGGAAAAAGCATTTTTTTAGAATATTATTGACAACCACAGTCGTAGCCTGTCCATCAAAATATAGAGGTTAAACTGCACTAGGATCTAGGTATTACGGGGGTAGAAGCTTCTGAAAACAAAAGAAATAAGACCTTCCCAAGAATCTTATTAACCTTAGCAAGTCTCGCCCTTTCCTAAAGTTCTCCTAGACTTCCTGCTGTCATCGTTAGACAACTTATACCCTAGTGATCGCTCATCTTCTGCCTTAGCTTACCCTCCCTAAGCTAAATCCACCCAGTGGGAGCTGAGTAAGAGGTCAATTAAGTGCGATTCTAACTGCACTACGGGATATCGTCTCGAGTCAATACGTGACACCTACCAGACCACTTAGTACATCTTCTTTGGTAAAGATAGTGAAGTGTGAGAAAAGTCTGAGTTGAGTTCGGAATTTTTGAGCTACCGTAACCTTCCACATGGACATGTTGACCCTGTTTTAGCATATTGGATTATCACGCATTACCATTTCAAGAATGACGTAATATTGGGTGTGGATAGTGAGTAGGTAGACACTACACCAGGGATAGGGTAATTCGATCTTTGACGCAATACTGCCACTTGAGCGAAAACTGAAGTGATATGAATGAGTGGAGTGCTACTGCATATAGGTAACTGATCCAAGCAAATAAAACGGGTTTCAATTTTGGACCCTCCCCCCCCCCTTCCTCTAAAAGAACTATGAAGGAAAATATTCGTAAGGGGACGTGGCAAACGCGGGTTCTGTCTGGCTAGGGCTGCGTACAAGGTCAAGAACGTCGATGCCATGAACTCGCTGCTGTGTGTGTGTGTTTGTCTGTTTGTCTTTGCCTCTTTTCGCGAGTTTATCGAGAGGGACACGCCAAACTTCTCCCCTTAGCCCCCCCCCCCCCCATTTATATATCTAACACCGAGAAAATGCGCGAAGATAGCCAATAATCAACGCGTGTGAGCAGCGAAATTTGTCCGGAAATTGACACTTGCCGGGGAACAATTACTGGTGTACCGTAGTCAAATAAGGCGATGAGCTGGGGAAATGTGCTGTGTATAGACATCCGGCAGTAAACAGAAGACAGATGAGCAGGTGTTCAGCTTTGTTTTCTTTCAGTAAATCGCTTCGGTGGTCCGAATTTGGGATTGAATATTGCCGCATCGCAAGGATTGGTAAATTCAATGAGCAGGCGAAAACGACGGGTCCTGTTCACGCAACAGCAGGTAATTTTTACATCTTACGAAAAATTTGAACTTCATTGCTATCATGCAGATAAAAAGACACAAAACTGCATTTTCTGAACATTTTTGTTATATATAACAAAAAAAGTTGATGGAATTTCCTAATTTTCAAGATCAATATCCTGGCGCCAACTTTGAATTTTTTCTCCGTTGTGGTCATGGTCTCAAATCAAAATTTTAGAGCCATATCTATATCAGTATCTTTTTGCACTCATAGATCTGATGACTAGACCAAAATTTGCTTTCTCAAAATTCTATTAGAGAAAAAGAAGGGTAGTAAGAATTTTTCGAGTAGTAAAAAATCAAAACTTTGAAAAGTTTTCATTTGAAAATGACGCATTCGCTAATTCCAAGTCAAATTACTGTATTTTTACGGTACTTAAAGCTATAGGTGTGGAGATTAGTAATCAGAAGTCCAGAAACTTTTGAGAACATTCCGTTTACAGACATTATTCATTTGCTTTCTAGTTTATAGTTTTTACCGTTCTTCTGAAACAGCATGTAGATTTACAATTGAAAACATATGAGCTTCTTTTGGGTTACGGTATTAACTACGGTATCAGAAGGTAAAGATGTTAGTAAAAATTGAACTTCATGTTTTCATTACAGTCTGTCGGTAGATCAATAACAGTCATTTATTTATAAAGTTCATATAAGAAGTTCATCGGATAAGGAAAGGTATCAGAAGAAGACCTTTTTATTCATTCTCTTTATTTTTCGATGTTAATCGGTGTATATAAAAAGAAACAAAAAAGTGTCGTTGTCTTTAATAATCAATAAATATGTCAATATACCATTGTTTATGTTCATAATCAAAAATTGATCTGTGAAAACTCAAATTTTAAAGAATCATACGCCTTAGCACCAGTTTCACGCTGCCCATCTACGGCAACTCTTCATAACTGCCCACACATTGCCGGATCTGATCCAACCATAATCGCTTTTTACATAACATTCACAAAAACCAATCTGATGCATCCGATTCCAGTTCCTCTCATAGCATCCCCATCGTTCCCTCCGCTTTTTCTCTGAATTCCTTTTCCGGCCTTCGGCATTGTTGTATGAAACACCTTATTTTCTGTTCATCATTTTTTGCCGTAGTGTTCGTCGAGATTCGAAGGAACGATATAAGAACTAAACAAACTGAAGTACTTCAGCTCGTTTGCTCATCATATAAAGAAAAAGAAAAATTCTCATAGGAATGTGTAGCCTGTACTTGCAGAACGTGAGGAAATGGTCGGAGTTAATCTTCAGGAACATTATGTCAAAGTGAATGGTATTACGGTGTTATTGGGTGACTTTCACCAAGTAACTACCATTTCTTGGTACTGTAACGTTTACGCATTACCGTAATCAAATGCTTGTATGATTTGCTCAAAGAAGAAGCAAAGAAAGCATTATTTCGACTTCCTTCTAAACTTAAAAATAGTTTTCGACTGTAAAAAATGGTTTTGAGTTATAAGCAAGGTATTGAGTAGCCCCCCCCCCCCTTCCCAGAAAAAATTCTACAATTCTCTCCGAACTCATTTAATTAAATTTTAAGTTTTGATAATTGATTTGCCATCGTCACAACTTGTGATTATGGCAATCAGAATTTTTTCGAATTACTGTGAATGATCTTCGCAAACCAGAAGTTTTTTTCTCAGAACTGTTTCGATTTCTCTCACAAAATTTTCCCATCTTCAAAATTTTTCAGGTAAACGAGCTCGAACGACAATTTCGACACAAGAAATACCTAAGCGCTCAAGACCGTGAGATTCTTGCAAAAAACATCGGACTCTCACCCACTCAGGTACGTAACCCCTTCACCATCCTTCGATTCTGAAAAAACACTTGACTCAATCTGTGCACCTGCCATTTATGACGTAATCCTATCGTATTCAAAGAGCAAAAACCGCTTCACCCATTTCTGATGCCTTTCCCTTTTTTCTTTTTCACCTCTCAATTTCGCATGCTATTTTTCTGGTCTAATTTTGCGATGCCACGTTTACATGGCGCAAGTTGCTTTTATTCACCTAAACTCGTCGCCGGCTGTAAATTTTAGCCAATCAGGGCACGGGGAAGCGGCTAGTCGCTGTGTGTTTAACTTTTCTACGTTGATTCTTTGCTATGGAAGTGAATCTGGGGAAAATTTCCCATTTCAGGTGAAGATCTGGTTCCAAAATCAGCGCTATAAGCATAAAAGGCAGGATAAGGAAAGAGCGATGAGCAAGGGTGGCCGGGAAAATAGCGAGTCACCGGGGAGCCACGACGATAGCGACGGGGAAACTATGACTGCTGAGTAAGTAATACTTTGCATTTTTACCCCCCCCCCCCCTTTCAAAAATTTCCTATTACAGTATCAAACCTGAAAAAATTGAAGAAGAAAAACCGTCAGCATTCCCGTCACCCGCTGCAGTCAATGACACCTCATGCCTGCCCGACATCAATAATCCGATTTATCAGCAGGTGAGCGTCCCGAAACGATTGCGCTTCTTACCCAGACATCCAATATTTGAAAACCACCGTAATCCTATCACCGTGCATCACGCTTGTGCCTCGCTAACGAATCTTGGTTGCTGTGTGGGCGATTTGAAATCAAGTGCGTCGTCGTTAGCGATTTGACGCGATTTTCGGATTTTTGACGGACGGTAAACGGATTACCGTGCGATCGTAGCTGTGAAATTTTCTTCTCAAAATCAGAAAACGAGAGTGATATACGCTAGAGCGGGAATTGGCAATTTTTAGCACTCATAAAAATAACTTTGCAATTAGTATAATTATTAATGCTAATAACAGCCACTGATAGCCATTGAAAATCGTATCCCATTTCCCGCCAAAGCAAGACTAAGCGCGTTTCGAATTAGCTTTGCCAAAAGGTACTGTGAAAACCTGAAGCTTTTTGAGCCTCTACCTCCAATCATTTTGCCTCATTTTGAAAACTGAAAAACAGTTTGTCTCGGGAACTTCTTGAGAAAGCTAATTTCAATAAGTCATTTTGAAAAAAATGAAAATCAATCTAAAATCTTAGACTTTAGAAGCAAGGCTAATCATAAGAGAAATTTTTCAATTAACTTGTATTCTCGGTTCATGACTCTTACAACATCAATATAATGATCAATGAAGATCACACTTTGTTCAGATTTTTATATTTGGCGAGCGAAAAAGCGAACATTTTCTCTAAATTGTGCTCCAAAGCAAAAGTGCTGTACGCTTTGAAGTAGTAGTCTACATTCATCTTTTTTGTTAAATGAGTTATGTAAAAAAACTAGCTTTTTTGAAATTTATATGGGCCGTAATGAAGTGTAAAAATCCTGTTTCATAGGCACTGTTAGTAGAAAGGCGAAGAAGGTTTGGTTAGTAGTTCGCACAACCTGCGGAGTAAGAGTTTAAAAGTAAGTGGTCTGGGCTTCGTTATGCCTGTTGAAATGATGCAACAGTTTATAACGGTCGATGGGTGATAAAATTATGAAACTTTTCTTAGTTATTTTTGTGATGTCTTGATTGGCGAGGGAAGACGGAAACTTCGCTGAAAAATTTTGAATTGTAACAACATTTAGAAAAAATTCCTGCTTCGTGGACTATAAGCTGGGAGAGGGAGAGGTTTTTAGTACGTCAAGGGCTTCGCAAAGCTTTGTCATTGTGCTGTGGTAGAGAGCCGGATTTCTAGATAAGACCAATATCGGCTTTTCAATAGACATCTTAAATACTCAGGAAATTATTTCTGAATTTCAGCGAATCAGCAAAATCTGGTACTTAATCTATTTTGGATGAACCTTTACCTTATGACTAATTCTTGTCTACTGTTTGAGGCTATTTTTGAAAAATATTTGTGATATTCATGAATTTTCAGGCGATGTACCAACAACATGCCTATATCCCACAAGGCATAACCTTCCCATTCGCTCAGGGTTATCCAACTACCGGTCAATATCCCTATCCACAATACCGATTATAATTCTATCTACTAGGCATTCTCATACATGTGTATTGATTCTATTTTATTGATTTATTGGTTGTTCTCCCTTCTCGTGATCAATATAGCGCTCGTGTACTTGTACCAATTTCCCATACAGAGTATGTGTTTTTCTCTAATAACTTTCACATTTGCGCATATTAGTTATCGCTCAACTCTTGAGCACTAATGCAGTTACCGACTGCATCGTCGTCGCTACCTTACCCGATTCGTCATAGATTTTTGTGTGTGGGAGTTACGGTAGCGGCGAGACCCGTCTCGTGCTCTCGTCCCGTCTCTCGCATATTCGAACACGTGTTCGTCGGTTCGAGGGGGTGTTTGTCGATGGCATGGCACAAATATTCCGTCTCAAAATGTGTTCTCTTAAGGGAGAATGAATTTTCATGTTTTTTGGGAGAGTTGGCTCAGTGTCAAACATCCATCCCACCCCCTACCCGGACACTCTCCCCTTTTTGTGTTAAATTATTTATTGCAGGTACCATATGTTGTATGTATTGTGTATATGATGATGAAGTGTGAAATGGCTACTTTTGTCTGTTCTATCTCCGTAGCTACAGCCGTGCGTCTGCAAGTGTGATGTGTCAGCGCACACTACACACTTGAGATGAATAAAAGTGTGCATTAAGGGGATGTCCACTTAACATTGCGGATCTATTCACTCGGCCGATCACTTCAAGTCACTGACTGACTAACACGCAAGAATTGTGTACGTGAACAGATGGTCCCCGACACTATCCTGGACTCGTTCTCACAATGCGATAAAGGATCTGCAAAAAAGCATCGTGGAGGGAGCTATTCTTTCCAATTCCCACAACTAGTCATATCTTGCCATATAGGGGGTAGGAGTTGGTGATGGAGGCGGTTTCGAACAAAATGATGTAAAAGTCGGGCAATGACAAAAATAAATTGCATGTTTCACCCAGGGTACTCAACATTATGATTTATTGGCTGACGTCGACGTCAGCCATTAAAGTTACCATACCAATCTTGGTCCACCTCAGAATCGAATCGAAAAGTGTCTACAACATTAGAATGATTTCTAATCAAAACAGCAATGCTTCCAATAATGTACAACCTCCAATAAAATCTTCAGTTCATCTCCTGTTACAGACACTTTGTATGCAAGATCATCGCAAGGACCTTACCACATAATGATAGTCCCAAACAGCATGCTGATATGCAGATTGTGGTCTTGATGGTACGGGAAAAAATGATTCTCATAAAACGAATAATCGTAGACCTACTGAATTATGGGGAAGAAGCTTACCAAAGTAACCTCAAGCTTAACTTAAGTGCACAATTCCACTTACTCAGTGCAACCGACAATCATGAACGCAGATAACGGTTACAAGTGTAAGATATTGCCTTTTATGATCATATCCCCTTTTAGCGGGAGGCCTGCATAGGGCCTAATTTACCATAGCTCTTCACGAAGTCCAAATAATATACCTTTGAGAACGATTTTTTTTCGAGATATTGCATTTCTTTAGTCAACTTACCACGATAAGCACAATCCCCGGAAAACTATAGAATGAGAAATACTGTTTCACCTAGCCTTAGACTCCCTTTCCGCTCATGAGAGCTATAAAAGCGCAAACAAAATTTGGTCCTACACCCCTCGACGAAGAAAATCAGCTTGAAAGTTGCTCTTTCTTGATTGATGTTTGTTTTATGAAAAATTAACATGCACAGTCAGTTCACTTTTTTGTACTTGCTTCACAATTCTATCACTGAGTTCTTCGAGTGCACCTGATTTTGCATATCAAAAACTACCCATGATCGTTCATTGTAGTATTTTATTGGTAGAAACTTTTTAAGACCATTTTATTCAAACGACTACTGTATGCTAGCGCAAGGTGTTAGTGCGAGAGGAATGCTCTCTATGCAAATAACTTCCTATTGCCAAAGTATATGTTTGAAATAGGAAGGTATTTTGTTGTTGGTATTGATGTTTATAGGACAGTGTTCATAGGAATGTGTTTTTGTGATGGAAGGTCTTATAACTTATTTATCATCGTCAAATCTGACTTCGGTGTACCGTAACTCACTGAGGTATTGTAAGTACTGTACTAACTATATTGGAATGTGCATTGCTAACTCTATATGCAGAGCAGTATTAAGGAGTTACTTTCAGCCTCGTTATGCCCATCATGCACTTTGGTCATCAATAATTTTTACTTTTTCTGACAAGGTTTTCGGTAAGGCACTCCATCATAGATGCGGTGGCAGAAGAACCACATCCTCGACACTCTGCCGGAAGCCGTCACCTCACTGTCATATTGTTCTAATTAGATAACATTGCACAGTTGTTGTAAAAGCTTTGCCCTCGTTTAGCCTACCGTAGTTCTTTGGCGGCTTGCCGGGCCGAAAAGCGGTGATGTGCCCGCGCATTGTTTGTTGTGTTCGCTAATTGACCCGTGTGTCGACTGCCAGCACTCTATCGGGTTTACCCAGGATTTTTTAGGGTAGAAGGGATTCCGAGTAAAAATGTGGAGGTGAAGGAAAGTTGTGACTGAATAACTTCCCTGTTTGCGAGAGGTTGAAGTGCCAACGATCCGTGAAAGGGAAGTGCCCGTTGAGTACGTGCTCGCTCATGTCACGAAGACGTACTGGATGCGATAGGTATGGTCAGTACCTACTATGACCAGGAAGTGAGAGAAAAGTAGCCCGAATAACCGGGTACGAAGGCGGGAATTTCAAACTCCATTTTTAGCCCAGAAATAGCCAAAAATACCAACAAAATCATGCATTCCGCCACTGCGCGCTAATGCTACTCAACCGTGTGCAAATGCGATTATCGGCCACACACAGCTCTCGGTAACACACACTGTAACTCAATCGGATGTACTTAAGCTAGGAAACCTGCAGATGCTTTCAAGTGCCGACCAACAAATAAAGCTAGCCGAGAGCGGGGCGAGAGAGCTCCGTTTCACCAGCGGTTTGTCTCCGCTCCACGCTCCATCCAAGCACAAGCACCGCTTGAGTGACCGCTTTTGCGGTACTCAAGTGGAAATTAGAGCGCATTCAGCTGCTTCGAGACTCGAAGATCATCTCGGGTTATGCGTGCTTGATCGGTGTTACTTTCAACTATGTATTATATAAGCTGACTAATTATGCTTACTAAATTATATTACTCGCTCCCATTCGTCCCCTTGCATTTTCCGACCTCAGAACCCTAAAACATTTAATTACTCAATAAAGATAGACTTTCAAAAACCGTGTCTCCAAACAAATTTTAAGCAATCACTTTACACACTTAAAACAGTATAGTGTCTCAAATTAGGCAACCTCATAATATTCATCACGGCCGAAAAATTCAACTTGCAACTCTCACCCAGACCGTACTTCCTACCGTACTTAAGGACGCTGATTGGCGCTTGAAAATTCACAAAATGCAGCTGAAACCTGAATTTTTTGGTTGAGATTAGGCCATAACAGCTGCCGCCTGTGCTTGGATTAGTAAGTTAAAATAGTTCCACATAAGGAGTCCACGTACCCAGTTTTACCTGGACGCCACCTTTAATTTGAAAAGTTGGTAAAAGTTTTGTCTTTTCTTTTGCTGAAATGGAACTAGAAGCTAACAAATTGGAAACCCGTACTCTACATTTTTGTTTTAACAGCCTTCAAACGCAAAACTATTTTATAAGTGGACTATCAGAAAAATGTTTAGGCATTGGTTTGAATGAAATTTAGTCCTGAATGCAAATTGAATTCGACTTAGGTGTTTCCGCTGTCTGCTTTTTTCAAAACAAGTCCAAAATTTAGGTTTACGAGTTCTTGAAAAATGGTTGATTCTTGTGCTGGTTCAAGAATATGACTCGTAGCCAGTTTCTTCAACTTTAATCTTGGTTAAGCATCATTGGTGCTGAACGTCGACTTTGTAACAAACAAATCACAGTACTGAAAAGAGCAACCTCAAAAACCCCTAAATCAGAAACTTGGTCTTGATTGGAGCAAATTCACTTCTGAATTCGATTTTGAATTTCTTTGAAATTCCGGTTTCATCATTTGGAGCGAACACTAAATGAGGGAGGTGGGACTCGCGATGTCTTGGTCTCCCGAAGAGCTCGTAACTGTAGCGAGCTTGGATATGCCTGGCAGGAACATCACTTAGGTGCGAGTATATGGCTCGGGTGAGGTACTTCCGCCCCCCACAGTTTTGTGCTCCTTGAACTGTTCTTCATATGAACTCAACATGATTCCAATATATACAGTCATACGATAATGAAACTTGTATTCTTTTTCCTTTATAGCTTTGACGTTCAATATGAGTTTCTCATCGTAGTACAGCATCCGCTCACGCTGGATAATTTGCTGAAACTTTTAGAATTGCTTTTACGTGTATTGGGAAGGGACTGTCTGTATTCTTCAGACGCTAAGTTTGAGAAGAGAGCTTGTGAAACACAATTTGTTGTTTTGAGCAAACTTGATAGCAAGATGGCAAGTTTTCTCAAGGTGAGATGAGCTATCTAGACTCATGCTCTTCCCCATATCAAATTATAAGATGAACATCGTCAGAAATCACGAAAAAATTAGCATACACCTACGCATCTCGCGCATGAAATGCGTCGCTATTGTTCGTGAACCGCAGCAAACCACCTTTACCACTACCATATACTAATTATCGCTTCGCACCTTCTCATCGAACGCAGATTCCCACGCATATGCGACGAACAGAGAACGTCGTCTTTAGGCTGGGGGAACCAGATGTTCGCCTATAGGAAGTCTATAGAACAGGTTAGTCCACTTACCATGGATGAGTGCGAGAAAATAATATGCACGGCACAGCACAGTGCGGATCTCCCTGCTACACCTGATTGTGTGGGTGTTACTGTATCGAATACCGGCATATCTGGATACGAACATGGCAAAGAGTGGATTTCGCTGTGTGGGCGAATGTCTGGATTTCCTGCTTGTTTGGACAATCACAGGCACATTTGACTACAAAAGGTGCCTTCATCTAGCTGGATTTCCAAGAAAGT